AAAGCTAGTTCATGATTTTATTTTCATTCTGAATATAAGATGTTAATTTGATTTGTCTTTCAAAATATTACTATTAATTAATTGCACATATTAAAGAGATTTTTATTAAAGGGTAGTTTTAATACAAAAAAAAAATAGCACATATTTTTTCATTAAAAAAAACTAACTTAACTAATTTTCTTAATTTGGGGGTTTTTTGTTAGGCTTAGGGATAGGGACATAGATTAATGTTGGGTGGTTAGAATAGCATAAATAACTCAAAAGCATTATGAGATGATGGGTCGTTATATTAACAATTCGTTTATTTTGTATCACTCAAAGTGGCATAAGTTTGGTAGACGCGTTCCCCTGTAGGGCTTGTTTTTCTCTCCACAAACTTCCTCCTCTAATTGCTTTTAAACAAATATCCCAATCACTTTGAGCCATTGGTAAGCTAAGACCTGTCTACAATATTGTTATATTGGCCTAAATTGCAAGCTGGTTGTACGCAATTAAATTGCAATTATTCAACTTGCTTTTTAAAGCGTCACGGCATCTCTTTGAGAAATATGCCTACCATGCAAATTAAATTTTTTAATAGGCAAATATCAAAAAATGAATTAGACTTCGATCTTAATCCATGTAGTTTTAAATTATCCGTTTTGATTCCTATAATTTCATAAAGAATTAGCTTAAACCTATAACTTTAATAAATTTTTATTTTTATTCATATATTTAAACTTAGACTAAATCCTTGTAAAACTATAGGAACTAAAACCAGCGATTTGAAATTATAAGTATCAAAACCAAAATTCGGTCACATTATAAAAACTAATAATAATATTAACTCCTGAAAAAAAAAATTCATACATATTATTGCAAATAATTAAATGAAATATTTTAGAAAAATTAATACATATTTTTTTAACAAATAACTAATTTAAGTAATTTATTCAATTTTTATGAATTACTTTCTATCTTTTATATTTAAATTAGAGTACGGATTATTCTGTTTGATAAATAACATCGCCGCCTTCAACAAAACACTCAAACGCGTTACGCGCCCACGCATCCTCTCTCCTGCTCGCGTGCACACAAATTCTCTTCCCCCCTATGTACATGCATACATGCGTTCTCATCAAACTCACGAGTTAATTCTACGAGTTTAATATTTTTATACTTTTAGTTAATAAAATCGTCTTGATTTATTTTTAAATTTATGATAACTGTAAGCTCGATTAAACTTACAAGTTGATTTACCGAGTTTACCGTTTTTACGTTTTAAGCTTACAAAATCGCGTCAACTCGCTCTAAAACTCATATTAAATTTTTGGAATTGATTATATTTCGTGACTTTATATAATGAATTTTATAGAAATTTCTTTGTTAATGTGATAAATTATGAATATTAATGGATATAATTTCAATTATTTAAATTTAAAATATATTTAAATAAAATTGTTCTTATTTTTTATATATTAATTATTTGATTATATACTTTTAATATCAGTTTATTAATAAAAGTAAACTGTTACGAGTTCATGATCCGAGTTTATATCATTCTCATGAGTTTGTTTGAACTCGTGAGTGTGACAACCTTGCATACACACAGATATATATAATACACACACAATTCTATAAGATAAAAGCCAGTTGATTAATATAAGTAGATTAAAAAATTTATTAAGTTAGTTATTTATAATAAATGAGTGTTGTCTTTTCTAAAATACTCTTACTAATCATGTATATTAGTTATATCTATCATTTGATAAAATCTTTAACATATACAAGGAATACTTTGAAAAAAAATAGATAAATATAAGAGATAGAATGAATTAAAATTTTATATTTAAAACCAAATTAAAAGTCAAATCAGTTCTTATATTATCGCCGATCCTTAATATAAGAGTTAGTTTATTTAATTCCATGCACTTATATCTTGGTGAAAGAAAAATAAAAAGACTAAGTCCAGCTGAGTTTTAAATAGCTAATAAAATATAATAAATAGCTAAACAGAGGTTTTCAATTCTATTAAAGAATGATTGTTAATTACCCTCCTTCACCAAAAAAAAAAAAGAATGATTGTTAATTGCTAGTAAACTTTTATAATAAATACTAAATGATCAATGAATTACAGTGAATTGTTAAACAATCGGTGTCATCCTAGGCTCATCAATTTCAGTGCGTTTTTATGACATTTTGCAATTTCCAATGTTTTTATTTTATTTTTTCAAAAAATAAATTTTTTTTTTGAAAAGAGAGAGAGAATAGAAAGCGTAGGAAAAGACGGAAAAAAGCAGCATGGGGTTGAAAAATACAAAAGGCAGCCTCATTGCATTATCATTATTGTGATGAGAATAAATAAATAAATAAAATTGGTTGTATGGTGACTTTTGGGGGTCCCTGAGATCCGTATTTTGGATTATGATGGGCCACCAACCCAACACATCCTCTCCGCGTGCAAACCAAAAAGTACGCATTACCTTCATTTTGTATTTATTTAATTAAAGATGCTGGAGTTTCGAATGTCCTTACTTGCCTTTTTTTTTTAAAAAAAAATTATTAGTTTAAAAGATATACAGATGTATAATATGTAATATTCACTTTAAATCAAACTAGATGCGTAGGACTGACTTGAATGATGGATATTATATAGACAAAATATGAAGAAAAAAAAGTTAGGAAGAATTCAAATTTAAGAAATTGAATCTCGGCTCTCTCTGTTTTTTTTTTCCACCTTTAATGTGAATTTGGAGAAGAAATAAATATATAAAATGCTACCTTTTATAACAAATCTTCATTATTATATTAGATTATACTACCTCCGATCTTCAATATAAGAGTTTGTTGATTTTTATTTTTATTTTAAATATAAGGCTTTAATCCACTTTGACTCTTATATTTATCTATTTTTTTCTCTAAGATAGTCTTTGTAATAATGATAGCTCTAGTCAATACACTTAATTAACAAGGATATTTTAGGAAAGATAACATCTAGTTATTATAAAAAAACTAACTTAACTAGTTTTCCTTCTTCATTATTCAAAATAATTCAAGGAAATCCAAATTTAAATATAATATTACCCAAAAAAAATTAGGGAAAATGGCCTAAAAAAAGTTAAAAATTATAATGTTCTAATTCAGGCACATAAGAGGTCAAAATTCTTGGGGAGGAAGTGATGTCTAATTTAGTATTTTGTAAATATAGTTAAATGACAAAATTATCCTCGTATTAAAAAGTTTATTAAAAAGTTATGAACTGGCAATTACAAGTATTAAACAGCATATGAGGAAAAATGTACTAGTAATGACAAGTTATTTATTAATAAGTTGTGAACTGATAATGACAAGTATCGAATAACTAACAATAAGAAATGTATCAGTAATGACAAGTTTGATTTTTTTTTAAAAAAAAATATAATATAATGACATTTTAGTCATTTAAATATCATATCAAACACTACTTTCTCTCCTAGAATTTTGAGCTCTTAAATGTCTGAGTTGGAATATTGGAATTTTGAAATTCTTTTTGTATGTTATTTTTTCAAAAAATTAAAAAGAAAAAACAGATTTAAATACTGATGGAGCCTCTTCAGTGGGCCCAACCGATGAAAAAGATGTTCAACTTATAAAGGTCCCAGTCCCACAAATTCATTATTCATACCCATCATTATGAATAGACTTTAATTTTTTAAGTTCTGTTGTAATTTTGGTGGAGTTTCAAGTTAATTATCTACTACTAGATATCCCTTCTAATAAAATGAAGACAAACGGCAATTTGAAAATCCACAACTTTAAAACTGGTGGTAAATATTTTTTAAAAAACAAATTACATTTCTACTAAATAATAGTATGTTTATAGTTGATGTCCATTCATACTCTATAGGATGGCAATTGGTTTTTCAGATATTACAAATATATTTTGCTATATTAAATTCAAAATATCTTTGTGACATAAAAAAGTTAGAATCATTGTAAAAAGCATAGTTTGGGAGCCCCAGTGATACTTGATAACTGTCAACATATAAAGTCTAAATTGTTAAGTGTGATTTTTTCCCCATAAATCAAGCCTTGATTTTAGCTCTTTTCCCTTGACATGAAAAGAGTCATAAATCCTAATAATTTCAGACAACACAAAATCAATCAATTGCACATGCAAAAAAAGAAAAAAAGAAAAATCCCAATATTCATTTGTTTTTACCAGTGAATCATAATTGACAATAAATCCTTTTTTACTTTAAAAAAACAAAAAGAAAAGAAAACACGGCGAGTTTCTTTGGCCCTTTAGCGAAAAGGGAAAAGAAAACTATTTCAAATTAAAGATTACTTGTGAGGACGAAGATGTTTGATCAAATGATTAAATTGCTTTCTATTAAATGAAAATAAAAGTAGATCCTCTCAGCTTGGAGAAGGCAAATTGACAGGGAGCCAAAATGAAAACTTCTTGTCAGAATGCAGAATTGAAGCAGAAAACATAATTTTTCACCCATAGAATGTTCAAGAGAACAAAATCATTGATTTCACAGCGAAAGTCAAAAACCCAAAATATCATTTTTCATAAAAAGAGTCTAAAAATATCATCATCAGTTTAGGATATAATCTTCAATACATGCATTAGTCATAAATCATGGGCCATGACAGGGTCAAGGACTCATCAGGGAGAAATAAAATCTTAGAAAATCATCATATGAACAAAGTTCACTATACTTGCATGTTTCTGGCCAAGAAATCAAACTCGTACATTCCAATCATTTTGCATGGTCTACCAATGCCAAAAAAAAAAAAAATCTCTTTATCTCTTAATCACCCCTCAAATACATTATATACATCTATCTCTCTCATTGTTAAAAAAAAAAAAAAATCCGAATTATACATCATATTCCAAACTCTAACTTCCAAATAAACCTCTTTCACAAGAATTCTATCCTTTTGTTACAACAACATGGTATTGCAATTGCAATAAGAGAAATAAACATATCAGATCAGCTTCTAGTGTTGTCGTGCAGCAGCAGCAACAGAGAATTAGGTCTCTTTCTGTGGTTTTTGCATTGCAAGCAGAGAAGAAAGAGACCAAAACGCAGAAAAAATTTCCTCATGAATTAATCTTACAACATCACACGACCAATCTGAGTATAACCCCTTTCTTCTCTGTGCCTTGTTTTGATTTCTTCTGCACATCTCAGTGTTCTCTCTATGTGATAGCCTCCTCCAATGCTCACTTCCCTCTCCAAATGGCTACAATAACTCTCAAACACGCTTACATTCACGTGCAGCTTGAACCCCATCATGAACAGAAATTCCACCTCCAAGTCGTTCAATTCTTTTGTTGTCAACCCACCAACTCTTGCAAAATATGAATTTTTGTAATTCCTGTCAAATCAGATGTTTTCAGTACAATATGCCCAGTTTTTTAATCCAAGAAAGTGGACTTTAGGAGGAAGAAAAAGACCTATTATCATACATTTTGACATCATGGACCACAAATATCGGTTACCAAACAACTGGAAATTGTATCCTTTCTTAGCTGTTACCAAGTCGTGTCAGTGATTTGAGATTGAAATGAAAATAAAGTTTTTTTGTCGCAATTTAACAAACCCCGTATGAAATTTGCAGTAAGATGTTGAAGTTCATATAGTAATTAGCACAAAGTTTATGGAGCTTACCAATACTCTAATACAAATTACCAAGAAATGAGGATCCCCAAAAATCAAGAAGATGAATATCAACAAATTGAGTGCAGTTAATGAACCCCATATCAAATTTGCACAATCAGAAGTTGAAGCTAAGCTAAAAATGAGTCCCTAAGTTATTGCATTTCAGGTGTTTGTGAAAATTACCAATAGAAACCAGCTACGAAAAAAGAGAACTCACATGTCTTCGACATACTTAGAAGCCACCATGATAGTTGTAATGAGAAGCCTGTGGACGTTTCTTGAATTGATTCGGAACCCAGGATTGTTCTGGCAAAACCGATCAATGTAGACATAAGCGACGACATAGACCGATGGACCGGCACGAGTGTATCGGGAAATTCTCTCTAAATAGGACTGAATAGTCAAATCTGGGATCTCTCTGCAATCGAAGATGCTAATGCCGATTGATTTACACAAAGCCCACGAACAATTCTTGACGATCCTCTCGGTTCTGGCCAAGCTCCTCTCAATCACAGAAGCTACAACGTTTATCACCAATGGCGTGTTGGAATCTTCCTGGTATGAGTAGGAATAGACATCAGAGCGAAGCTTTCTTGGGGAAATGACAAGGGAAGAAGAACAAGAAGCAGCAGCAGCCATGGAAGGGAAGATGAAGGTTGTTTTGAAAGCGTTTGCAGGTGGTGTATTGTGGAAGACGATTTGGGAGGGGGCATTATATATTTGGGAGAGAAGAACTTTGGGCACAAAAGATGAATTAAGAAATTGAGAATAAAGAAAGTGAGAATGAATAAAGAAAGAGAGAAATGAGATTGGTTTTGGACAATTTTGTTTGGAAGGCGCGTGGAAACTTTCAGGATGGAATAAAAATTGCAGAGCAAATCATTGTTTTTTTTTAATCTCAATTAAATCTAGTTTAAATAATAAAATTGAGACTTATACTTCTAACAAAAATAGTTTTTCAAATGACAAGAGCTAGTTAGAGGCAATAAATAAGATTAGGGGAGTATTTCCCCGGGGAGAGAAAAAAACCTACACTTTTGCGGGGATCGTTCAAAATCACAATTAACTAAGCTATAATGATTAGTCTTATGAAAAAGCTGTTTATAGTTTAAAATATTGTCCGATAATTGTTTTCCAATATCATTATAAATTACTTCTGGTACTTAATATAATAGTAAATTGACTAATTTAAATAGATTAAGAAAATTAGTTATGTTAGTTATTTGTAATAAATAAATATTTTTTTAAACATTATTGTTAATCAAGTGTATTAGCTAGAACTATTATTATTATAAGGACTACTTAAAAAAATAGATAAATATAAGAAACAAAATGGATCAACTTTTATATTTAAGATCAAAATAAAAATCAAATAAGTTTTTATAATAAGAACCGAAGGTATTATGTTGTTTTGTGATAGGAAAAATATACTACACGCTAACTAAATCACAATACATAAATGAGATTATTTGAAGGGTTCAATAAAAACTGTGTGTATATATTGAATTATTGCATCAGATATAGTAATTGAAAAAGGAAACCAAACCATGAATGTGTGTGTGTGTATTATGATGGCCTCCTCTTTGTGAAGAGCTGAAAGCAAAGTAGAAACAGAACCAGCTAAGCTTGACTCAGCATTGTTAAGGAGTAAATAAATAAATACATAAATTGGTGGTCTCGCCCGCAGACAAGACTCAAAAGTCAAGCCTTCCACATTTCTTAAAAAAACACTTAAAAACATTTAAATATTCTAAATTTTTATTTGGATCATTAAATTTATCAAATTTTTAATTAAGTTATATGACTCAAGAAAGAATTTTAAAATTATATAAGACTTTAATGCCCTTTTCATTAGAAACTAAAAAGTAATTTTAAATTAAAACATTTCATTTCGTAATTAACATGTTTGAACTCTAAATTAACAATATTCTTTATTCATAACACAGTTGTAACAAATCTTTAAATAAAATTTGATCATAATACAATTTTAAAAATTAATATGTTCTATTTCACAATTAACATGTTTTATTTCTAAATTAATATTTTGTTTTCATGACACACTTACAATAAGTTTTTAAATAAAAATTGATCACAATATAACCTTTAAAATTAGCTTGTTTCATTTCACAATTAAACATATTTTAATTCTAAATTAACAATTTTTTGTCTCTACAACACACTTATATCAAGTATTTGAATAAAACTGTATCACAATACAACCTTAAAAGTTAATATGTTCAATTTCGTATTTAACACGTTTTAATTCTAAATTAACAATTTTCTGTTAGGATAAAAATATGAAAATTAAATAATAAAAATTCAATAAGAATACTAAGTCATCGTTATTTCATTGATTGATTTTCTAACTTTATAATTATAGACACTAAGTTTTTCTTGTTCAGAGGTCTTACACAACACAGGAATGATAAAAAAATTCCCATCCCTCTCAGTTTTTAATGAAAAAAATATTAGAATCATTTTATAAAATTTTAAAATTTCTTTTTAAGTCACGTGACCTGATTAGATTTTTAACAAATCTAGTGATATAATTAAAAATTTGAGTTATTTAAACGTCTTTTTAAAAGATTTTTGTTAGGTATAGTCCCTGGCCAAAAGAAAATAGTATATATGGGTGGTTGTTTCCTTTACATACCCTCCTTTTATCCTTATATATTTTCTCTTTGCTGCTATTAATTAAAATTTTAGTGGATCAAATTTAATATTTTATAAAATCATTATTTTAATTTTACATAAGAAATTTTAAGCGTTAAAATTTGGTATGAATAGTTCACAATCATAGTGAAAATAGATAGGAAAAGAACCCACTTTATAAAATATTTTAACAGCAATATATAGTTGTTAGCTGTGTTGAAATCAATTGTTCACGGTTTAAATTTATTTCCCATGAATATTTTTAAAAATACAAAATCGGAACAATCTGCTATTTCTTGGTAGCCTTGGTCCCCTTTCTTGGTTTGTCTCTTTTTAAGAAAACGTGATCCAATTGCTCACTTCTTCTTCCTCAGAAATAAATTAAAAGAAAGATAACAAGTAGCGATTCATCAGATAAAATCTCCTTATTATTCGGAACAATGTACAATAATGCACTTATTTTCGATAAAACAACGTACGGACGTACGATACTACTGGAGATTGTGTATATACATACGAAGCTTCTTTTGTTCTCAATTACTTAGTTCTTTCACAGTCACAGAAAGGAAGAAGCTGGATTCTTTTTAATCTTGCATGCGAATGATGCACCTGATGGATTCTCCCTTCAACATGTACTCAAACGCTTTGTTAATATCCTTGAATGACACGGAATGAGTGATGAACTTGTCCAGTTCCAGCTCCTGTGTGTAAATATATGCATACATTGGTCATTAATCATCAAATACAGAAAATACTCATCCGGTCCTTAATATAAGACCCACTTAACTAATTTGATTAGATTAATGAAGTTAGATAAGTTAGTTAATTATAAGAAAAGTGACACATTTTTCCTAAAACACCATAATCATCTTTCTTAATACCCCTCTCTCTCTTCTATTTGATTATTATTGAGAGAATACCTATAGGGGTAATTTAGAGAAGATTGATAAATATGATAAATGGGTCTTATATTTAGGACCAAAACCAACTCAAGAATTGGGTCCTATATTAAGGACCGGAGGAGTATATAAACCACGATTCATCATTATTCCATAATTAAGAAGCAGGGAGGCTTAATGAATTTTAGTTACGTACCCCTTTCATGTATCGCTCCGCAAGAAGAGGAATATCGGATACGGGCTTGAAGTTGCCATAGAAAGTACCCTTCAGAGTTCTCTCCTTCAGGAAGTTCACTGGGTGAGTTTTGAACGCATCATCCTTGCTTGGCAGACCAACCAGCACAGCGACACCCCAACCCTGCACATATGCATATTAATTAATCGCATCTTTGGATTAACGTTGTTGACAAAAGCGACTTCTATAGACAGAAGTTGAAACAAAAGTTACTCAGGATAATATGATTTTTGTTTGGATGATATATTAAAAAGTCAGTTTTAGAAAATTCAAATCTATAGAAAAAAGCTAAAAGTTAAAAGTTAGAAATAGTTGCTTAATTATAACGGTGTCTTTAGTGCTAGACACAAGAAGCAGATGTGAGTTTTGGAGAGGGGGTATGTACATGATGGATGCATTCAAATGCCTGCACATGCATATTCAAACTTTTATAAACTGAAATTGGGACAAAAGTTACTTGGGGGTGTTTCGATAACCTCAAAATATTTTTTAAAAATACTTTTTAGTAAATCGAGACAAACTCTTCTATATGTTTATCTCATATATCGTAAAATCACTTCTAAAACCATAGTTTGATTTCTATTTAAACACCTGCTTAGGATAATATGATCTATGTTTGAATGATATATTGAAAACTCAGTTTTGGAATATTCAAATTTAAAAAGAAAGCTTAAAGTCAAAAGTCAAAAGTCAGAAAAAGTTACTTATAAAGATACACGTCTTTAGTGCAAAACACAAGATGCGAATATGAGTTTTGAAGAGGGGGCATGTACATGATGGACGCATTCGAATGCGGACATCATGGCTTGGAGGCTGCCGGAGCATTCAAGAGCACAATCCACACCACCACCTGTCATCTCAGCCAGCACCTGTGAACAATTGAAACAAGGCAGCAATATAATGACATCATATATATATATATAGAGAGAGAGAGAGAGAGAGAGGCTTAACATGGCTAGTTTCTCTACTAATTATAAATGTACTGACCTCTTGCACAGGCCTGTCATGATCCTTTGGGTTCACAAATTCATTCACCCCAAATTTCTTGGCTGCACCAGCAACAATATTAGGAACTCAGGTAATTAATAAGATCTATCAATCAATACATAACAGTATGTGTGTGTTTGAAATTGAATTAGAAGTGAGATAATTAATCTTTTCTGAATTCTAAGAAAGATGATGAGATGTACCTGGCTCAAAACGGCTATTCAGCAAGTCAACCCCAATGATTCTGGATGCACCAGAAACCCTTGCACCTTCGGCAGCCTAAGATTTATCATTTTAGAAGAGGACATCAGGAGAAGAAGTTGATAAATACAAACACACACACACACATATGTATATAGGCATCAGATGATTGTCATATGCTAATTAAACACAAGAAGAGGATATAAACATATAAATACCGCAAGCCCAACAGCTCCCAGTCCAAAGACGGCAACAGTAGAACCAGGTTTTGGTTTTGCAACGTTGACTGTGGCACCGAAACCTAAGAGAAACAGTGTAAGGGAGAGAAATAAGAAAACAGTTTTTATATCCAAATTATGAGCACCAACAAGTCAAACCCTATTTGGGGGACTTAAAATTCATTTTAAAGCCAAAAAATCCTAATAATTGACAAATCTAACGAATCTTAATTATCAAGAAAACAATAATCATGTCCCAAGAAAAAACAAAACAACTATAAGTAAGTCCAACTAACAAGTTAACAATTGTCATTTATTTCGCTGAAAGTTATCATTTTAGACTGTTCTGTTGCCGTTAAGACTTTTTTAATAATTATGCGATTTTAGAACAATTCTCTTTTTTTTTAAAAGAAAAATTACAGTAAGGTCTCAAAAAAAGAAAACAACTACCGCTTTTACTGTCCTGAAACTTGTTGTCCCTAGGACTCTTTTTAGTAATTATGTTAGCAATTCTCCCTTATCTAAATGGATAGTGACGATGAGATGTGTTGGGAAATGGGACCTGTGCAGAAACCGCAGCTGAGGAGGCAGAGTTTGTCGAGAGGGGCAGCGGGATTGACCTTGGCAATACACTGATGATGGACAATGGTGTACTCGCTGAAAGTGGAAGTTCCCAGGAAGTGATAGATGGGCTTCCCATTCTTAGAGAACCTGCAGTCGCGGCCGTTGAGCATGACACCCCTGTCGCAGTCCACCATCAGAAGGTCGCACAGGTTGCTCTCCTCCGACTTACAGTGCCGGCATTCTCCGCACTCGCCGGTGAATATCGGCAGAACATGGTCTCCCTCTTTCAGATTCGTCACCCCCTCGCCTACGCTCTCCACTATCCTGAATCCAACATGTTACGTCCACTTCATTACTAAGTTCTTTGTTTATGCAAAGGAAGGGAATTGAACACTGGCTATGACCAGAAAAGGAACATACCCTGCTGCTTCGTGACCCAGTATGCGAGGGAACAGCGGAATTTGTCCCTGTAATATAAATGTAATTGCATAAGTGAACTACGGTTTGGGCCTCTATGTTCTGACTTGCCTCCCTCTTATGCTCTCTGTTCAACTTCCCAAATTTTTTGCCTTTTTTTGGTAAAACTCTCTCCGTTTTATTTTACAAGAGAACTGTGCTTGCTCTTTTCTTTTTTATGAGAAAGAACTACGAAAATCATGTAGTTCAAAATATTAGTTAAATTTATTTAACAATAATAAATTTGTAAGATATATACTTATTTTTTTCAATTATACCTGAGTACATGAGGGATGATAAGTGAAAATTTATTGTAAAGAGATAATAAGTTGCATATATTTAATGAGCATATAAATGGAAAGACAAATTTAAAATTTTAGACAAAAAAATTGATTTCTTATATTAAGAGATACCGGTATGAAAGACATTGGTTTTTAAAGAAAGGATGGAGGGAGCAACTTTTTTTTTTTAAAATACACTTACCATATGGGGGAGAAAGAGTAAAATAAGAACAATAAGAAAATTATTAGGATAAAGAGAACCCCAGAGGAGAGAGTGTGAGTGAAATAGAAAATGATATATTTTGTGGGCATGTGATAATTAATATTAATATTAAAATGAGTAATTAAATAAAAAAATTAACAAAAAAATTTGAAAAAATCTTTAAATGTTTCTTATAAATAAAAAACAAAACAAGTCAATAGTTGTTTTCTAATAAAAAAGAATGGAAGCAGTATCTTTTTACCATAATATAGTGTGATTTTGAATTCTTACAATTTTTTAAAGAAAAATAATTAAGTTTTTAGTTTATTTTATTTAAAAAATTGTCTTAAAATATTTATTTTATTTAAAATCTAAGAAAAAAATTTTAAAAAAAAGTTGGGACATTAATTACGAAAAGAAAAACTCATTTAAAAAAGTTGGTACCTACCATTAATGGTTTTTTTTTTTTTTGAGCTGGTACCTACCATTAATTGTTGTTCCTATCACTTAATAGTCACCTTTATTTTTGACATTTAGTGCCTCCAACAATAGGAAAAGAAACAACGGAACCAGTTTTGATATTTATTATTTTGACAAATCTTAAATTTATCAAATCTGAACTATTTATTTCTTATTTAGATGGTTTAGATTTAATTTTTTTATTTTTTATTTGAAATAATTATTTTGATACATACAGAATGTAAAATATAGATAATTTTTTAATTATCATTCTTTTAAAAAATATTTTTTTATTTAAAAATAATTAATTAAAAATTTTAAATTTAGACTATCCAAATGAGATACAAACCGTCAAAGTAAATTTAGGATGTTAATCAAAGTGACCCCAAAAAAAACATATACAGTGAGAGGCAAACGAAACTGAAAGCAGTACGTACCTTGGCTTCCCAGAAGTAAACATCACTATGGCAAAGCGAGGTAAAGAGGATTTTAAGACGCACTTCTCCAGCCCGCGGAGGCTCCACCTCCACCTCTTCAATCGCCAGCGGCTTCCCCGCTTCCCAAGCAACCGCAGCTACAATATACAATATTCACATTCCCATTAATTCAGTTCACCACTTCCACCATATATATATATGTACACACACACACACACTCTAAACAAACAAGAAGACACAACATAGTTGAAGAAGAAAGGCTAGTTTCAAAAATTTAAGACAGAAGGAATTCCACGGGAGACCTTTGCACTTGATGACGCGACCAGCAGTGGGAGCCATGGCTAGTGAGCTCGGAGGGTTGGAAGGAAGAAGACGATGATGATAGTACGAACCAAGAGTCGTTTGTTGTTGTGTGGACTAGACACATCCCTCACGCTGCTATATATATCCAAAACAATGTTGCCGGGCCTGGGCCTGCGGAAAGGGGAGGGAATCATTGATTCCAATTTCGTTTTGAATAGCCATCGTACACACAGAACTGTAGCACCACGTGGTCAACTACTATTGGATGCTGCGCTTATTTGGATAGCGTTAGGAAGTCTCTGGACGAAAATATGGCCATCACGTGGCGCGACTAATTTGTTCGCACGTAAATTATTCAACCTTTTCCGGTTTTAATTATAAGAGTTGGTTGATTAATTTAAAAAGATTAAAAAAAAATTAAATTAGTTGTTTATAATAAATATGTGTTGTCTTTCTTAAAATATCCTTACTAATCAAGTGTGTTGGTTATAACTATTATTGTTAGAAGAACTATCTTAGAAAAATATATAAATATGAGAGATAAAGTAGATTGGAGTCTTATATTTAGAATCAAAATAAAAATTAAATAAGATCTTATGTTAAAGAATGGAGGTAGTATTACATTAATTCATAATGTACAAGCACATTAATATCAATCCCCCAGGACACATAAGCAAGCATGCATGTTTATCCAATTGACACTATTCATCTACTAAATAAAGTTCTGTGCATGAAGCCATGAATAACTAGATTAATATCAGCATGATAGGACACATAGGCAATCACATGTTCATCCCATTGATATTATTCATTTACTAAATTAAGTTCGGTGCATGAATAAATTAAAGAAGATTAAATTTATTTTTTGGGTTAAAAGGTATTTTAGTCCTTAAATCGGCATATCGGTCATCTTAAACTATTGAAGTGGTGGGGTATTATCCGTGAAGTATCAAGAAGGAGCAAAATTGTCCTTCCTGTACGCTCTTTAATATAGAATCTAATTGTTAAATTAATTTTGACTCTAAATATAATATCTATTTTTATTATCTCTATAGATATTCTCTCAACTATTACCTCCATTCCTTATAGATATTCTCTCAACTAAGAATCTTGTTGGAAGTTCCTGTGGTCTCTTTCATTGCCGGATGAATTTATTTTATTTGTGTGGAAATTGTGGCATCAAGCCGTCCCAACATGCTGATATTTTAACAAGTTGGGCACTTGTCTGTTTTGGATGTATTTTATCTGAATCCCCATAGAACATATCTATGGACAATAATAACTTTGAAGAATTCTGCGCTTTTGGCCTAAAAATATCCTCATGAAATTAACGGATGACAATCTTTCTGAAAGTATTGCCCCTGGGATTATCATATCTATCCTCCTAAATATCTTATGGTCCAAACGCAATCTGCATGCTGCTCTTCATGAAGCCAAATGAGGTCCATAATTAAAGAGCTCGAGGACAAAATCAATTACTTAAAATGTGGCCTTCCTTAAGTCCGGATGACCGCAGCTACGTAACAGCAGATTATTATTTCAACACATCTCAATCATTTCGACTTCTTCCACCTTTCAATCTGGATGGGTGGTGCTGGCTTCTTCTTAAATCAAGAAGGCAAATGGAAAACACTATGGTCTCCATTTGGTATGAAATATTGAGAATGAGAGGTAAAGATTGAGATTATATTGTGATTGAGAAAACCCATTAAAAAAGTATTTAGTATAAGAAATTACTTGTTATTTGAGGTTGAACGAACCCATATAGGTGGGATTGAAGAATACCGTTACTCCCATAGCATTCCCAAATCTATAAATAATAGATAATCACTTGTGTTGAAAGAGAGATAAACTTTCTAAAACTATTACAATGGTTTAATTGCTTTAAACTTTGGATCAAACACACTCAACGATAGCCAGAGTTTCAATGTATCCATTAACTCGTTAAGTAAAGAGGCAAGGTTTCAAGACTCGTTATCCTTTCTCGGGCTTCATCAAAAGCAGAATCCAAGCCAAGATGGAAATTGAAAATTCTTCTATTCTTTTATGTTATTAGAGAGAGTTGCATCTTTGGAGTACTTCCACTCTTGTGGGTCATATAAATCAAGGTTTTGCCTTTCACAATGGATTAAGAAAGGAATTCACCCTTGTCCATAAGATGCATTCTTTCAAAGAGCAAAGCATGGCCCCATGTCCCACAAAACCGATAATGGTTCGGTGGAGGACGAGGAATGCTTTGGGGTCCTCCAATGCCCCTTGCGAGGTGTCGGATGGAGATAACTCTGAAGGCATTAATATCCCAATGAATGGATAGGCCAAAATCTACCGCGGCGCTAGATTAATGTACTCTTGGGTAATGGAAAGGTTGCCTTTTCTAAACTCATGGACAAAACTTCTATCTCTAAAATGGTAGCTCTGTTTTTGAGGGAGGCAAACATGCCTCTTGTTGCTTCCCATACTTCTTTTATTCGATTGGAACAGAGAAAAATGAATACTTATCAGCCGTCCTTGCACCATAGAGTTGTCTGCTTCCCAACCGGCATGGTATCATCAACGGCGGGCTTTGGCACTGTTCCAATGAGATATTCATATTGCCCTTTTCTTGTGACACATAATCGCACATTGGCTGCCCATTGAAGACAGATTTAGTCATTCAACCAATGAACTATAGAAACTGGATTGACATCCATGGATGCTTGGTGACATGAGGTATTGGCTATCAGCACCCCTTGATCACCATGGCCTTCAGCGTTCAAGCCAAACCCAAACTGGTTCATGACTGCTCCTATACCATGAATAAGTTTATGATGCTGTAAAAGGTTACGTTATTCATACGTACAGAGGATTAGATAAGTGCAAACACTAAATCATTATGAGAGGCTATGATTCTAAGGATGAAATAGAATTGAGCATAAATGTAATATTTGTCCCTCAGGTCTACTTTTATTATGATTTTGGTCTTTCAAGTTTCAAATCATAGGTTTTAGTTTTTTAAAGAGCAAAATAGTCCAAGTCTTTATTAAATTATAAGGATCAATATCTTAAACAAAAAGAAAGTTGAGGAAGTAAAACCTATAATTTAAAATTTGAGAGATCAAAAGTTAAATGACCAAAAATTATATTAAACATGATATTGAAATCTGTAATGGAAAGGATAAAACTTTGACGAAGTAAAATAACAAACCCAACACATAAATGAGGTGTTTAGGCCCAATCACCCGTTAGGCTGCGCTACGCTAACAAAAATCAACAATGCATCAGTCCCAAGCTAGTATAGGAGTTTTAAGTTCCTTGGGACTTTACTAATATTAGTTTATTTTGTGAGATACTATCTCTCTAATATGATTCTTAATATAAAGGTCAGTTTAGATTTTAATTTGGTTTTACATATAAGACATTAATATACTTTGTCTGATACATTTATTCTTTTTTCTTCTTCCTAAAATAGTCTATATATTGATTGCACATATTAAAGATTTCATATAAAGTAGTGTCAATTAGAGCCAGTATTACATGCTGGACCTGCAGGCCTAGCCTACCAATCTGCCAAAAATGGTGGGCTCAGGCTGACAAAATAACAATCCAACAAGGTGTGAGCTACTCTAGCTCACACTGTTTTGGGCCTTCTTTCGCCACCAGTTAACTTGCTTTTTTTTTTTTTAAAATTTTTCATGTATTTCCCAATATATTATATAACATATTTGGATGATTATGACCCTCAAATCCTATACGCACATTGTCCTACTCATATAATTACATATGTAATTAAACAATATATATATATGCAGTTATATAAACAGCATAGTTCATATTTTATTTTTCATCTATTTGTTGCTTTACCATACACTCTTTGATAAGACATATACATATAAAAGATTTACTTAATTAATTTGGATAAAGAAAGTAGTTAAATTAATTATTTATAAAAAATATGTATTGTTTTTTTTTAAAACACCTTCTTAAATTATAAATTAATCCTCACATTATTTTATTATAACTACTATCCAAGTTTAAGACTTCAAGTTTAATTTCAACATTTTAAACTAAGCCAAACCCATACTAATGGTAATAGTTTTTTTATAAGAAAAATTATATAGGCAAGCTGGCGGCTAGCCTTGGCAGACGCTTGCTAGCCTGCACCACCATAGGCTGGCCCGTATTGGTATCGCCAGCCTGCTTTACCAATTCCAGTGTCAATGTATATGAGTAGTTATGGTATTTTATGAAAAATAACACATATTTATTACAAATAATTAATTTAATTAATTTTCTTAATATTCACAAATTAGTTATTTAACTCCTATATTAAAAATCAGAAATAGTATTTTGATAATTACCTATCATAGCTGTCCTCATATGTATTATCCCTAAAATATTTTAAATTAAAATAAAAAGTTCATAGCATCTATTGCTCGAAAGCTAGTAAGTTTAACATGATAAACATAATCTGCTAAGTAAAATGAATTTGATGAAAGAAAGATCATAGGAGAATCATAATCAGGTCTTAAAGAAGGGATTTAATTACCTTAAAATCTATTGACAAGTAAAGAGTAAGCAATGACAAGTTTCTTAGTGGAAAAGGACAATAAGTTCAGACTGGTTACTTGTTATAGAGATTTTTTGGTAATTAAATTTTTTGGGGACGTTTTGGTAATTCTCCCAAAGATTATCGGACAAGGAGAACGAAAAACGACAAAGGTCGCACGACGTCGTTTGGCTGCTGTCATGTGAGCCTCAACGCCCAGTGGCTGCATCACTGTGATCGAATGTCGTTTGTTATCTGCGATTTAGCCCCGAAAGAAGGGGTTTTGGTCGGCAGTTTCGATCGAAGGTCTCTGAGTTTCTCTTCGTCGTCGTCTTCTTCGGACAAGCGCAGACGAAGACACAGCCAACGATGGAGGCCCTTGCTTGTATTCAACACCGTCGCCAACCGCTCGGTTCCTCAGCTGATTACTATTGTCCATCGCTACGAAGATCCGCCTGTTCCCAATTCCTCTCACCTCCTGTGCACTTTCCATCTCCCTCAGTTAGAGCTTCATCTGACTCGACTTGGCCGAATTTCCAAATTCGTCAAACCCCTTTAAACCAATTCCTGGACTTTTTCCCCAAAATCGCCACCTATGCCACTTTAACCGCTGTATCGACACTATTCTTCAATGGGTTTTACCGGAGCGCGTTAATTTCCAAGTGCATTGCGTCGTCTCCTGTGGCTGCTATCCAAGAATCGATGGTTGAGGAGAGAGAAATAGAGGAGTTAATTGGGTCTGCTCGCAAACCATTTCATGGATGCTCCGTGCGGTACTTGAAGCTCGAGGAGAAAATTCCAGTAGTGTACGATTTTACGAAAACGAAACCTGAAGATCAAGCTTGGCTGGAGTTGAAGTCCCATATTCATAGTTGTACTGAAGAGTTGGAGCTCGTGAAGGTTGGATTTGAAGAGATATTGGAGAAAGATCCATATGGCACCAAGTCCTATCACGGTCTTATACTTGAGTACCTGGAAATGGTTGATGAATGTAAGGACATATTGAAGGATATTAAGAAAAAGATGGATAGGTGTGAAAGGGAAAATGGAAATACGAAGTATTTTTTGAGTTTATTTAACGAATTGGTTGATCGAGTAAGAGTCTTGCAGGGATACATGCTTGGTGCTTTGCAGTTTTATCAAGAGCTTGAGCGAGAGTAAGAGCAATTCGTCCTTAGGTGCTGGTTTTAAAGCGTTTTGTATGATTCATTTTTCATATAAAGAATGACAACCATCCCATTGCTCAAGGTGGGTTTTTGTGGCTTAGCTCAAACGTACTGAGTATAAATAGGAAATTGTAATAGGCTTACCTGGGTGACACTGTACTGAGTATAAATAGGAAATTGAACCATTGGCTGAAGCATTAAGCTGAATGGCAATCACAATATATATGTGAAGTTAGGAAGTGAATATATGAAGTAATAATTAGTTTCCAAATTGTAAAAATACTGCTGGATTTTTTTCCTTCTGTTTTGGTATTATTGACTATGTTCTTTGATATTACTATCAAGCTATGCTTCCGCAAATGTGATCGATTCTTTCAATCATCTTGTAGTATAATATTGTTGCAATTGCTTTTACTTCGTAGCTTTCAGTTTTGGCAATTTTGTTTCTAACTTTTGAAAGTGCTGGAATGGAATCATCCACAAATTGCTTGATGTGTGATTGCCATGACAATGCTGGGAAAATAGGTGTCAAATTGAACCTCAATGAGGGGTTCTATAGTCAGGTAAATCATGTTAGATTAGACATTTTTCACGTTTTTGGTGCGTTGGATGAATTATATTTTTGTTTGACACTATTCATTTTACCAGGAGGTCCATGACTTTGTTATAATTGAGTTTTGTAACTTGCCCAAGGTCCTATGACAATTCAAGTTTAAAATTTCTGAGCTAACAACTGAAGTGAAAGGTGAGGACAACAAAGTCAATGTTTGATTAATCTCTTTTAGTCCTTTGCAGTTCTTTCATATTTTTTAGCGGACGGATTAGAATTTATACTTACAAGTTGCAACTTGCCTCTGATTCCCTATTGTCCATCAGAATTCTTTAATGAAATGTATTTCTGCAGAGTGGGAACTCAACAGTTGGCATTGTATTTAAATTGCTTTGCTGAAGGCCAGTTCTTGTGGTCTTTGTTAGATTACTGTCCATTTATTTGTGTGGGCTTTTCGTTCTACTTGCAACAGTAGTAGTGGGCGTCAGTTAATTAGGCAAAATTTGCCTCATGAAAATTGTGGGCTTACTTTGAAGAGTATCCGAACACTTGAGGAGTTTATTAGCGTTTTTTCTTTTGTGGGTCTATATAACCATCTTTTTGGCAGATATTCATTCCTATACGGGTTCATTTTTGTGCATGATATCCCCATGTAAATGTATGCCATAACTACTACAGATATGAGTGAGAATATCTCATTTGTTTTGTTAGTGAAGTTTATATTAGATTGAGCTAGTGGAACAACCTCTAGAGAACATTGTACCTCATTCATAAGGGCTTTTCCCTCAAAAAATAAAAAAAGAAGTGACAAACAGCTTCATGAAGCAAGGTCAAGAAAAAGACATTTTACCTCATACATAAGTATTACCTCGTATTGGTTATCATGTTCTCTATAATTGATGCTCCTTAAGGAGGTTGCAGAACTATGGTCTTTAGCTTGGTTTATGTCAGTTACAGAAAGTAAAAATGCATCCTCTTTACTAAAGTTAGTTAATATGTTAGAAAAATTGGGAACTAAAGGCACTAATATTCCTTGCTTCAGCTAGCTGTTCCTATTTTAGCATAAAGTTTTTGTTGTTATATTTTAAACGGTTCTGGTATCTAGTTGGTTCTAAGCAGTTAGTAATTGAAATGTTCAGATACAATCACAGACATTGATATGGTTCATGAAGGAGGGCCCACACCTGCCAAATATTGAAAATGGAGTTGCTGAATCCATTTGGAGGTTAATAAAACAAGTGCGAATAAATCACATTTAGTGCCTGAAGCTCGAGGAAAATGTCTTAATTGATATTATTCACAAATTTACCAAAATGGGGCCTTATGATCATGTTTAACAGATTTTGAGTTCAAAGTTTATAGCTATGGTGAAAGTTTAGAGCTAGTTGGCAAAAAAAAATAAAAATTGAAGTGATATTAGAGAGTGACTAATGTTGGGAGTAAGCTGTCAATGGTCATAATATTCTTGAATTTCCTAAGTGTTATAAAGTGTCATTTGTGGTTGGAATTGGTTATCAGGGTGACTTACATTGCCACCACCCGGATTTTTCTTCACCTTTTACGATTCTTTTTAAATGATTCTTTTATTGTAGAAGATTGGTTAAGGGAATGAAACTTTACTGAGGGGACATTAAGTGCAGGAAATATAACAATCTGTAGAAGGATTGAGCTAATTTACAAAGCTGTTCCCTTATTGAATAGCTCATTCGTTGGAATGGCAAAATGAAGCTCAGTCGCTGTAGTGATATGGAGTGCCATATGGAAGATATTCTCTGAGAAAAGCTCAAATTTGTCCCTCCACCTTCTCTCTTTTTGGGTATGAAATCAATATGTGGCAATCAATACACACACTTTCCAGTTCATGTAAGATGTCAGTTAAGTTTTCTCACATAAAAGAATGTTAGTCAAGTTATTAAATATGTTTTAAATTCATGAAAGTCACCTAATCTATTTTTATTAAAAAATGTGATTGGAAGTTCGCGCCTCTCTTTCATGTATTTAAAACTTCCTTTCTTCATTGTAACAAGAGGTGAAGGTGAAAACTATTATTAATTACTTTGTTAATTTCTTATATTTTGAATCAACATTTTTTTCTAATAAAATTCTTATATTTGGGGCTAGACGGAGTTTATATATATATAATACAAGAGAAAATTAAATGAGAAAACATGCAAGCTCTCTATCGTGTTGCATATGTGTGATATCTCTAACTAATTTTTTTGTGGGAGGATTATGAAGTCTCATAGAAAGAAAATAATTCTAAAACAAGTTTAAGAGGTTGTCATTTTTTTATTTTGAAACTTGTTATTATAAGCTGTTTAGGCTGTTATTGAGATTTTTTTAGTAATAATTATTATTTTTTAGTTTGGGATCTTATTGTAATTTTCTTGTTTTTTATTTACATAATTTGGCTACTTATATCTCATGAAAAGGACTAAAAGTATTATATAGAGGCATTGGCTGAAAACTTTGCTACATTTTTATTTAAACAAAAGTATACATTGTTTAATTTTATAGAAGATTTTAATTTAGTTCATTAGCTTTGAAAAAACATATTTTTAATTTTTTAATCTTAAAATGGTTAGTGATGATGATTTTTTTATGACAATCATAATTGTTTTAAAAATTACATTTAGAAAAAATTGCAATCAAGTCCCACTTAAGAGAATTCAATACAAAAAGGCATTTTGAAATTATCAAATTATTTCGAAGTTCTAAGAGACATTATTACAAGAGATTTTATTTGTGTAATTATCAAATTGTCCTTCTTTTTTTTTAAGTATGCATTGACATCTGAAAGTGTAATCATTAACAACTTAAGGTATAAGGATTAATAACTATCATGGCAGTTATTAACAACTCATGCATTATATTTTTATGATGTGCTGAGAAAATGTATTATCAATACCCGCCGTGATAGTTGTTAATTTTTACACTTTAAATTGTTAACGATTGTTTTTTCAGTTATTGATACATACTTTTAAAAAAAAAAAAAGACAATTTGATAATTAAACAAGTGAAATTTTTCGTATTAAGGTCTTTTAGAACTTTAAAATAATTTGATGATTTCAAAGGATGTTTTTATATTCAATTCTTTTGAATGGGACTTTATTGCAATTTTTCCTTAAATTTAATATTTCCAATGCAGGATGTTTTATTAACATTCAAGAACACAATATTATTACTTTTTATTAATGATTTTAAAAGATAAAAATATATTTCTTAAATTTAAAGGAGAAATTGAAATTTCATATAAAAGTAAAAAGTTAATATAATTTTTGTGGAGAAAGAATTAATATAATTTTTGGTCATTCAAGTTTATTCTCACTTTTTTTTTGTTTATCAAGTTTTAAATTTTAGGTTTTTGTCCCTTAAATTTTTTTTTTTTAAATATTGGTTCTTGTAATCCAACAAAAACCTAGACTATTTTACCATGTTTGAAAATTGAGATATCAAAATCAAAATAAAAACAAAGTTAAGGTATTAAAGATTATATTAACCTGAAATTAAATGAGTAAAAGCATATTTTAAAGATGTTGAGATCCCCTCGTCATGTAAGTAAATAATACCTGCAGTCATTAATACAACAGTTAGTTTGATTTTTAATTTGGTCCTAAATATAAGATCTCAATCCACTTTATCTCTCATATTTGTTTAATTTTTTTTTCAAAATAGTACTTGTAATAATTGTATATGTTAAATGTTTCATCAAATAGTAGTTCTAACTAATATACAAGATTAGCAAGAGTATTCTAACAAAGACAATACCTATTTATTATAAAGAACTAATTTAATAAATTTTTTTAATCTACTTAAATTAATCAATAAATTTTTATATTAAGAACTGGATCTAGCTGTAGACTGCACAACTAGCATGGTGCGTTTGTTGAGAACTCCATTCTCATTAAATTCCATTGGTCGTCGGCAGCTGGTTTGATGTTGCACTCTGCGCACAATTGGCATTCAAGTCTACGCGGTTTTACTTTGTTGCATTGTCACTGGGTCTGAGCCCTTCCCTTTCAAAATTCCCTCTCTCTCTCTTTTTTTTTTTCCTTTGTTTTTTTAAAAAAAATTTCCCGACTTTTCAACTCGAAACATGGCAAATGCCCATGCAATATGATTTATGAAATTACTCCTCCGGTCCTTATTATAAGACCCAATTTGACTTTTTATTTGGTCCTAATTATAAGACCAAATCCATTTTCTCTCTTATATTTATGCATTTTTTTTTCAAGATAATCCTTCTAATAATGATAGTTTTAACCAATATACTTGATTAGCAAAGATATTTTAGGAATAACAACACTTATTTATTATAAATAACCAACTTAACTTACTTCCTTAATCTCCTCAAATAAGTCAATTGGGTCTTATAATTAGGACCGGAGGAGTACTAAAAATTCATAATTTTATCATTATCCTACGAAATTCAAATATTAAATATATAATATATAATATGAAGTTGAATAAGCAAAACTTGATTGAGTGGACATTTGTCATTGTTTCAAAATTAACTAGTATTTCAAGTAAGGTCGCGTAAGATTATTATTGTATCAATACACTAAAATTAATAAGAATTAGAAATATTGAAAAAATCTGGAAAAAAAGAGAGTACTGGATAAAGATTTTTAAAATAATTTTTTAATTTACTCAAATTAGTTAAATAGCTTTCATATCAAACACCGAAGGTAATATTAAAAATAATAAATGGAGACCCTTAAGATGATTTTTTGAAAAACCAAAATTGTCGTTTAATTTTCAAAACTCACAATTTAATCCTTACGGTGTAACAAGAGTATTTAAAATATGTAACTTTAAATATATATGTGCCATATGTGCGGTTGTGTTTGTGTGTTAACATATTGTGTGCTTGTCATTTTCATTTCATCCCTATAGAAAAGAAGATAAATAAGTTATTAATTTATATAATTATATAATACTTGCAATTTTATTTTATACTATCATCAATATAACATCAATATCAATATATTTATGAAGTCAGTAGTATACTTATAAAAGCTGTATACAACAGCAATATTTACAAATTGTAAATAGTGCAACAGTAGTATCTTGTAGCTATGTGAAAAAAATAAAAAAAATAAAAATAGATGAATAAATAAATAAATAATTAAGAAAGGAAAAAAAAAAGAAAAAGAATTTTACAGTTGTTTCGTTTTCTGAAGTGAAGTCGCTTAAAACCTAGTGAAGTGGTTTCCTTGCATATCTAGCGTCGCATGCTCTTGCTGAGAACTCTATCCTCATCAAATTTGCTTGGTCTCCGGTCGCTGGTCAGCCGTCGCTCACGATTGGCGTTACACTCATCGTCGATGGACGCTGTCGAGGAATCACTTCGTAAATCCCTGTCGGAAAAGCAGTCCGCCGTAGAAGCGCAGGGAAATGCTGTCCGAGCTCTCAAAGCTGCCGCCGTCACCACCTCCGCGTCCAAGCAGGAAATCGATGCCGCCATTGAAAACCTCAACAAATTGAAGCTCGATAAGGCTTCGATTGAGAAACAGCTTCAAGCACACATTGGTGGCGCTGGTCGTGACGGTTCAATTAGCAAGGAAGCATTCCGTCAAGCGGTCGTTAACACTCTCGAGCGGCGTTTATTTTATATCCCGTCTTTTAAGATTTACCGAGGTGTTGCTGGGCTTTACGATTATGGACCACCTGGTTGCTCCATTAAGTCCAATGTCCTTAGCTTCTGGCGTCAGGTGGGAAAGGGTCTCTATTTCATCTCACTGAAATTTAATTCTCCATCGATTTACTTATACTTGCGTTAATTTATCGTGTCTGAGTTTGGATAGGTTATATAATTCAAAAATATTCAGTAGTTATCAGTTGGTCATTTGCATTACAGCAGCGGGTTAAAAACTAGTGAGACCTGAGAAATTGTAGATTCCGATCAGATCAATAGGTTCAGCAAGTGTATCAGGTTAATTTTGGTTGAATCTGTATGGAAGTTGTGCTACTTGATATATGAGAGACATTTAGCATTTAGGTTTGGTTTTGATCTTTGTGATTGGCCGGCATATGTTCCATCTATTATACAATGCTTCTTATTGTCAGTTTCTCATGGTTTGCAGCATTTTATTCTTGAGGAGAACATGTTGGAGGTTGACTGCCCGTGTGTGACACCTGAAGTTGTACTCAAGGCATCAGGTCATGTGGATAAATTCACTGACCTCATGGTTAAGGATGAGAAAACTGGGACATGCTACCGAGCTGATCACCTGCTTAAGGATTATTGCAATGAAAAGTTACAGAAAGACCTGAGCATGCCCCCAGAAAAGGTTGCAGAACTCAAGCATGTATTAGCCACCTTGGATGATCTCTCAACTGAAGAGCTGGGTGCAAAGATCAAGGAGTATGGAATTACAGCTCCAGACACAAAGAATTCACTTTCTGATCCTTATCCTTTCAATTTAATGTTCCAGACATCTATAGGCCCCTCTGGTGTGCTTCCTGGGTGTGTAACTCTCCTGTCCTGGTTCATATATCTGTCTGTATTTTTCATTTGTATAACTTTGAATCTGACATTAGTACTGAGGCAAACGGCTTTATCTTGTTCCAAATGTTGCAGGTATATGCGCCCTGAAACTGCACAAGGCATCTTTGTTAATTTCAAAGACTTGTACTATTTCAACGGGAATAAACTCCCATTTGCTGCAGCCCAAGTTGGACAGGCATTTAGAAATGAGGTTGGTAACCCACTCCTTGTTGCCTAGCATTAGATTAGTGAATGCGTTCAAGTGACTCTCTTCATGCTAAAGGGTTAACTGTTTCCTACATTTTTAGATATCTCCCCGCCAAGGCCTTCTCAGAGTCCGGGAATTCACATTGGCAGAAATTGAGCACTTTGTTGATCCAGAAGATAAATCTCATCCAAAATACTCAGAAGTTGCCAACTTAGAGTTTCTTATGTTCCCAAGGGACCTGCAAATGTCTGGTCAATCTGCAAAGATAATACGTCTTGGTGATGCTGTTTCAAAGGTCAGTTCAAATTGTAATACATTGTTTTCTTCTTGTTTTTGTCTCTTCTATTGTCCTTTTATGACATTACAGGTTCTTTTTCCTTTTGAATATTTTTTCAGGGAATTGTCAATAATGAGACTCTTGGTTACTTCATTGGAAGAGTTTATCTTTTCTTGACTCGTCTTGGTATAGATAAAGACCGTTTACGATTCAGGCAACACCTTGCTAATGAGATGGCCCATTATGCTTGTGACTGCTGGGATGCTGAAATTGAATGTTCCTATGGTTGGATTGAGTGTGTTGGCATTGCAGATAGATCTGCATATGATTTGCGTGCTCACACTGTAATGATTCTGTTCACTTAGCTTTTGTCTATTACTTTAAACCACGACAACATGATTTTATTGGATGTATTCTTTGCTTTCTGTAATTTCATTTGGCTTACCTATGGTCAGCAACCTTGTTGACGTGAACGTTGTAATACCTTTATTTTCAGTAGACAATGTTTATATTTATACATATTTTTACAACACTAGAATGCATCCCATATTTTTTGTTTCCATGTTATCAACACCGTATAGTGTCCTATAATCTCATTATGTTTCTCTGTTTAATATCTCAGGAGAAGAGTGGTGTTCCTCTAGTAGCTTCTGAAAAATTTTCAGAACCTAAGGAAGTCGAGGTAATGTTTATTATTGTTAGCACATAATTATGGACAGCATTTATGATTGGTTGCTGCAATTTCATATATATCCATTTGAAGTCAATGGTGTCATTGGTTGACATGGTCATTTGATTTTTCTCAGAAATTGGTTATAGCTCCTGTAAAAAAAGAGTTGGGTCTAGCTTTCAAGGCGAATCAGAAGAAGGTGGTTGAATCACTTGAGGTAATTAAACAGTGTTAATTCTCTGTGGTTTAAATGCCATCACCATAGTTGGTAAATTGTGAATCATATGGACAACCATTTTTTCAAATAATGAATAGTAAGATTCACAACTATAAAATTTATCAGACCCATACCATATGCTAATACAAAGTAAATCACATGCTAATAGGAGTCTAAACAGTAAAAATATTAATATATTGCATGATAAGACGTAATACCATTAGCATCTAATAATATCATTACTTAATGGTGCTAGAAAGACTTTCTACGCCACTATTCATAGCTATGTGTACTTTTGAAATTTTTGGGTTTCAAGATATGGACAAATATAATGCTAATAATAAGGTTCAGAAGGTAGTTACTCACCATTTGAGACCCAGACCATGTTTTTGGCTGTTCTAGACCATTATTCCCACTATCCTCCTTCCGAAAAGATAAAAGCAAAAGTAAACTACTCCCAGTTTTAGGGGATGCAGGGCTCAACTGAACTCAACTCAACCAGCGTCTGGTTGGTTTTATGACTGAAAAAGGGTTAAGGTGCAATTTTAATTCCAATCTTATTTCTTAGGTGCAATTATACTCTTGATTTTTTTAATGTTGCAATTTTGACCTTGATCTTTCTTTCTTTCTTTTTTTTTTGGGGAGGGGGACCCAAAGATCAAAGGTAAAATTGCACTCGGAAAAAAAAGATTAGAGGCAAAATTGCACTTGAAAAATAAGGTTAGGGACAAAATTGCACCACTAAAAATTAGGAGTAGAATTGCCCATAAGAAATAAAATCAGGGTCAAAATTGCACCTTAACCCACTAAAAAATTCATACCAAATACTTGATTTGGACAAATTGAGGCATACCTATTTCGTATAGTTGATGGATTTCAAACCCCTTTGCAAACAGTTGTAAAGTACTTCTTTAACATCATCTTGTGCCACTGACATCTGGATTTTTTCTCCCTGCCAGGCTATGAGTGAGAAGGAAGCTTTGGATATGAAGGCAGCTCTGGAATCAAAAGGTGAAGTAGAGTTTTATGTCTGTACACTTGAGAAAAATGTGACTATTAAGAAAAGTATGGTGACTATTAACAAGGAGAGAAAAAAAGAACACCAGAGGGTTTTCACACCATCTGTGATTGAACCATCCTTTGGAATTGGACGGATAATATATTGCCTGTACGAGCACTCTTTCTACATGAGGCCAAGTAAAGCTGGGGATGAACAATTAAATGTCTTCCGCTTTCCCCCCATCGTAGCCCCTATTAAATGCACAGTTTTCCCACTAGTTCAGAACCAGCACTATGAAGCAGTTGCTAAATCAATTTCCAAGTCTTTGACGGCAGCTGGAATTTCACATAAGATTGACGTGACGGGTATGTTGATATAAACACTCTCTTGACATTTATGTTTTACAAATTTGCATTGATAACAAAATACTGGATGCTTGCGTGCTGGAATGTCTGCTTAAAGTTGGTATTAATTCTTACTTTTGGATGAAAATGTGATGTTTGTTTTAGTTGTCTAGATTTGTTTCCAACCGTTTTTTTTTTTTTTAACTGTTGCATTGATGATTTGCTTCCAAGTTCCAATTTTGAATATAGCTGTATAAAATAAATTTCTTATTTTATTGTTTAGCGCGGTCGTTAGAAAAATGACACTTGGTGGACTGCTTCACATGAACCCATTTCATGTCATCTGAAGTTTATGTTTGTAACTCGGGTATCCTTCAAAAACTTTTTACAGGCACATCAATAGGAAAGCGATATGCAAGAACAGATGAGCTAGGTGTTCCTTTTGCAATCACTGTAGATTCAGAATCGTCAGTGACTATTAGGGAGAGAGACAGTAAAGATCAAGTGCGTGTGAATGTGGAAGAAGCTGCCTCAGTTGTTAAGGGGGTGACCGAAGGCCACACGACGTGGGCAGACGTATGGTCAACTTTTCCCCATCATTCCTCTGCATCCCAGGATGATTGAGGTTATAGCAGTGTCTCCTTTGGGTTGACCTGTTCGAGTTTATTATTGTGTTGTTATCTGAGTAGTGAATAGAAGTGAAAAAAGAGAGTTAATATTTACGGTCCATTGCTTTGGTGATAAAGGAGTTGTATCAGGATACATTTTACAAAGACGTTTTTGGGGTTATGGATTTTCTTATTATTTATTTCAAAGTGCTTTTATTTTAGATGAAAAATGATATAATTGTTCCGTTTTCTTCTTTTCAAGTTTCTTCCTTTTTCCTGGCAAAAGAATCACTGAATTTTTTTTGTCGCGTAGCTTGACCTACAGTGTTCATAACGGTTTCTGCATTCTATGCTTTTTGATTTCTTTGTTGTAATTTAACCTTTCGATGGAGACATATAATGATTTTTTTGTTTGGGCCTAAAAAAAGAAGAAGAATTACAATCAAGTTTTTTTTTAAAAAAAATAATTATTAAAAAGTCTCAATGATAATCTAAGTAATATGTAATAACAAGTTTTAGAATAAAAAAATAATAACTTTTGAGATTTGTTTTGTGATTTTTTTTTGTTTTGGGATTTCATTTTAAGTTTCTGAAAATATTTTTACTCCTGCTTCATGAGTGATGACATGTGACGGGGAGAGTCAAATTGAGCTAGGAAGACGGCCCGTCACGGTAGCCTTGATTGCCCTGTTTTTCTGAAGCTAAATTGAGATCATTTTATCAACCAATGTATAAAACAAAAAATTATTGGACACATAATGTACTTGATCTGAAGCACATAACCCTACAAATTGTTGTCAGCATCAACAAATATTTGGACAGTTTAGTCTGAATCTGAAAGGTCTAAATTTTTAATTTTTTATATGTTAGATTCCACATCTTTTCAAATTAAAAAGTAAAATGTAAAAAAAAAAAATGTTATGTTAGTGCTATATGGATAGTTTTGTCCAGACCTTCAATTGATTTTGCCTAGGTCATAATTATTTTTGGTGGTTGATGCAGTGTACGTGTATGATCGATGAAAATTATATTATTTTATTTTTAATGTTTCTAGTCAATCTGCAAAGATAACACGCCTTGGTGATGCAAAGTTGTAAAAATAAAATTGCTGGACGCATAAATGTCCTTGATTTGTAGCGCTTAGCCCTCCAATTAACAGCAACATATATTTGGATTGTCTAGATTAAATCTGAAGTGTCTAAAATTTTTCTCTTTTAATTTGTTATATCCCCCCCTCCCCTCCTCAATTTTTTGTGGCCCCTTTGGTTGCAACTCCATGAAATACGCTTCTTCTCATGTTCCAAGGGATTGTCCTAAAACAAAATATGTTTGACTTAAACTCGTAAATACAAAAGAGTTCCAAAAATCAATCCTTTCATTGCTCTCACTTTGCAGGATTGGATTTTATGAGATGCAAATAATGAAGCAGGGAGATATGAATCAAGGAGAATTTGTTGACAAAGATTGTTTGCATGTGTTTTTGCTGGAAGATATGGAAGGATGATGAGTATAGAAATTTGTACTCCAATTAAGACATGCCTCATCATGACATTGTTTTCTCACAAGCACTTGAAAGCATAATTAATTACTTTTATGATCTTATTTATAAGATAGAGAGAAATTTTTTTTTTTATGAACGTACAATTTTATCCTTAATTTAATATTATGTTGACTTTGTTCTTATATGGTAATCTCTCCGGTCCTATATATAAGCTTCAAATAACTGAATTATGTTTAACGAACTAGCAGTTAAAATTAGTTAAAAATAATCAATAGGTTATAAGTGTAATTTTGTTTTCTAAATTTGCCCTTGTTTATTAAGAGAATAAATGAGAGAGACAATAAATGAAAAAGTAATAAAAGAAAATATATGGGAGTAATATTGATGAGAGAGAGGAATCACTAAATACAGTCAATTAACGGCAAAATAAGAAAAAAAGTATTAAATACTCAGACAAACTAAAAATGAAGCTTATTTTTGGATCAAACTCTTCTCAAAAAGTGAAGCTTACATATAGGACTGGAGAGAGTATAATATATATTAAATAGATATAAAGTTAAAAAATTGTTAAATTTTAAATAAGAATTAATGAAATTAAAGTTTTTATTAGTATGTATAAACATGTTAAAATAATTTGTAAATAAGATCACAGTAGTATCTCAATTAGGAAGCTTGTATGGCCACCTTAATATGGAATCGCCCTCTCATTATTCTTACTGGATGGAAAATCTTATGCGTACTTTTAAAAAAAAAAAAAACTAAAGCCCTCTAACAAAGTTCACGTTATATTTTGCACCAGGAAGTATTATTTATAGCGTATTCGGATAAACCATAAATATGATTAAAGATATACTAGATATATGGGGAGGTCTCCATTGGTTATGTTTTCAGAGAAGCAAATTATTGTGCTAGTTAGCTCCACGACAGTTTAGAACCATCGCCATGTTGCTCCAAAGAAAAATCTCAAATTGATTTTTCTTATAAACACAGACGGAGTTACAAACTCCAAACTTGGACTCTCATCTCTCACTGATATACAAATCCCAAGGAAGCCAATTTTGGATCCTATGGCACAAGGACTTCCATTTGAGCCTCCATGTATTAAGAATTCCATTTCATTCACGGCCATAAAAGTTAACATGACTTTTAATACAATTATTAAGATCATTTTATTTTTCATGTTGTCATAATTGTCTACCTTTTGTATTATTTCTGTAGTGTTTAATTTTAATAAATCTTATCGTCATTTTAATTTAATAGTTATTTATAATTATAATTTTTTTTAAAAAATAATATCTATATTATACTTCATTCACGGCCATACAAGTTAATATGACTTTTAATACGATTATTAAGATGATTTTATTTTTCATGTTATCATAATTGTATAACTTTTGTATCATTTCCGTAGTGTTTAATTTTAATAAATTTTTATCGTTATTTTAATTTAATAGTTGTTTATAATTATAATTTTTTTTAAAAATAATATCTATATTATGCATAAATATTGCCCACACTGATTAATTTATCTGGTCCGCCAGTGTTGCGGTATTTGATACCTGCGAATAGGATAAACATCGTACGTACCTCATTCACTGCGGCCTCTCCCTTTTGAGTGACCACTACCCTTTGGTTGTGGTCTCTGTTGAGAATCATTGAACAAAGGGAATAAAGGGAATATAGTCATTTGGTTTAACCTCACATAATTTCCATAAATCTGAAATATATTCATTTGAAAAATAATATTTTTAAAAATTATATTCCTCCGGTCCTTAATATAAGACCCATTTAACTAATTTGATTAGATTAAGAAAGTTAGGTAAATTAGTTAATTTTAAGAAAAGTGACACATTTTTCCTAAAACACTATAATCATCTTTTTTAATACCCCCTCTCCTAAGAAAAGTAAATACTCAATAATGATATATTATTTTAAATAATATTAACACTAAGTTAATAAATCAATTTAAATTAAAGGTAAAATTAAAATACTTTAATATTAATTAATGTTCATGAAAATCGTAAAATTAATTTATTATACACGATATGGGAATAAAAATAAGGGACAATAACAAAAAAAAAAGCTTGAATTTTGTAAATGCCAAATAAGGAATGTCAACAAAAATTTGTTGTCATTTGCAAATTCAAACTTATCAAACACCAAATAAAGTTGTGTTACCAAATTTGATTTGAGATTTGCAATTTTCAGCTTCTTTTTCTGTCATTTTCTCCAAAAATAATCCTAAAAATTTAATCATTATTTATAAAAATATATAAATATACATATACACAGACATAATATTTATAAATATATATGTGTGTGTGTGTATGAGGTCAAGCTCGGGACATGTCAAATACTACTTTCAGTTCTAATTATAAGATCTTATTTGTAAACTATAAATAAGGTCTTATAATTAAAACTAAAAGATTACAAATAAGATCTTATAATCAAGATTGAAAGTTATATGTTGCCCATCGTAGTGTTGCTCAACACAGCGGGGGAATTTGGGTCTGTTTTTTCAGATTAGGCTCTTCTCCTTTATTCGTTCTCCTTTCGATTGTATCTTCTCTTTTTGCTTTTCTTTTCCTTTGACAAGAAGAGAAAGTAAAAATGAAATAAAAAAATCTAGGAACTAACAAGCTGTTTGTTGATATAATAAACAGTTTTATTTTTGTAAGAAAAATAACACAAGTTCAAATCCTAAAAAACACATTTGTTTATTGAGAGGGCTTAAGAATATTTTGAGTTATACTAAAAAATCACACTAAAGGGAATAAACTGTTAGTGTTTATTCTTCGAATTCAAAATAAAATACTTTGTTCACTAAACGTGCGGGAATATAAATAATTTTTTTTGTAATTTATACAATCTCAACACGAGTAAAGTGTAATTTTTTGAATGTCCTTCACTAAACACATTATAATTTAAATCACTTTTTATCTTTAAAAGACAATTTATATAAGGGGCCAAGAGGAGTATTTTCAACCATTTTTTTTCCTCAGGTGAACCTATATGATGTTGAATAATGGAAGCTGGTTTTATAGAAAATTAGAAATCTTCCATATCAAAACATGCTTCCTGTTGAGTTTCTTTTTTTGGGCAAAGCATAGGTATTTTTTTATCGGAGGCAATCCCATTCAAATCATTATTAGGTACTAAATGTGAATACCTCTCTTAACAGAGATTTAAAATTTTGTTTGTCATGTTACGAGAGACTAACTCTTTGTGTTAGATTTAATTTATATTAATACTTCCCATTGAGTTTGATAGATCAGTTGGGTCCATCTTCGACAAACACCTTTGGGTCCAAAACTTTTGTCATATAACCAAACCAGACTTTCACTAAAAGGCCTAAAACTTTTGTTATTTTCCCCATTCCTATCAGTGGGCCTGCCCTATTCCTTGTCCTTCTTAGCGGCTATCGTATCAGTTTTCTCGTACCGATTGAAGAAAAAGTAAGGGAGAATTACCCTTAATGACCCAATAAAAATTTATTTATTAAAAAAGATTTTAAACTTCTAAAATTATTTTCTACGACGAAAAAAATTCCTTTTTTTGAAAAGCAAAAAAGAAATGTAATCATTAGATATTTGTATGATAAATAACCTGCCTCATTTTAATAGTCATATATAAAGAATTTGGACAAAAATAATAATAATCACAAATGAAATTTAATATTATAAAGACCTTCGTTTTCTTACTTATATACAAGACATTTAAATAATGAGGGATTTTGTAATCTCTTTTACAAGATACTCCTCTGGCCCTCAATATAAGACTCATTTAACTAATTTGATTAGATTAAGAAAGTTAGGTAAGTTAGTTAATTATAAGAAATGTGACACACTTTTTTTAAAATACTATAATCATCTTTCTTAATACCCTCTCTTCTTCTTCTACTTGATTATGGTTGATGGAGTATCCATAGGGGTAATTTAGAGAAAACTGATAAACATGAGAAATGAATCTTATATTTAGGACCAAAACCAACTCAACAATTGGGTCCTATATTAAAGGAGGAGTACCATATTAATTATTTATTAATTTTTTATCCTTATTTAGTGAGGATGTAGGAAAGTAGCAGACCCTTTCAAGATGCATTTAGATTTAATATGAATAAAATAAGAAATACTTTAAAAATATTTAGACAAAGTTAATGAATTTTAATATTTTCCTAACATTAGAAAATATTTATAAATAGGATTAAAAGGATAAATTATATTTTATGATATCTTGATCATTTTCACTAGGGGTGAGAGTGAGCATTCAGTTAAAACCCAAAAAAAAAAAAAACCAAACAGCGTGTATTTTCAAAACCGAACCAAAATCAAAATATATTAAATAACTGAATCAAACTAATTGAATTATTTTGGTTCAATTATTCAGTTTTAGGTCAGTTATTCGGCGTCTTGTTGGGCCTTTTTGTTACAAGCCTATCTGGTGCAATGCAAATACACATGCTTATACAACGTGGTTTAGCTATATTTCGGTTTTTTTTGTTATTACTGAAATTTTTTTAAGACTCGGAAAAAAGCGAAATAACAGAAAATAAAAACCAAATAATCAAATTAACCAAAAAAAAAAAACAAATCAAGTTCTTTTCCGTTTGGTTTTTTATTTCTGTTTGATTTTGTTCACCCGTAATTTTCACACCCTTTTCCCCTTTGAAAAAAAAAGATTTAATGTGATTTTTAATAAAAAAAATTCTCTGCTTTTTTGGTCATTAAAGGCAGAAGAAAAATATTTTGGTCATCTTGCATAATTCTCCCAAAAAAAAATAGTTTCTCTCTGCGGGAGGTTGAACACTGTGGCATCATGGACGAGAATCTCAACAACCTCCTCTGCTTGCACCCTCTACAAAAGCTGGAGCGGCTCCGTCATAAAATGGACTCACCAACTCCTTCCAAGTCTACCTGTCCCCAGAACCCATGGCTTCCTCTTCATCTCTCACCCTTTACCAAACCCTCTTGGCTCGATCCATCTCTTCCCAATCCTCTAATTCGTCCACCGATCGAGTTTCCTTGTCCAGCTTCTCTTCTCTCAGATCAATTTCTTCTCTTTCTTCTTCGTTTAACCCAACCAGCGCCGTAGCTCGCTTGCCTCGACGGGCGGGTTCTTCCGTTCGGGCTTCCGCCGTCGAGACCCTTGATAAGGCCACTGAGATCTCTTTGGTCGAGAAATCAATCAACACGATCCGGTTCTTGGCCGTCGATGCGGTGGAGAAAGCGAATTCGGGTCACCCAGGTCTGCCTATGGGTTGTGCTCCGATGGGGCATATCCTCTATGATGAGGTCATGAGATACAACCCCAAGAACCCCAAATGGTTCAACCGTGACCGTTTCGTGTTGTCCGCCGGCCATGGATGTATGCTTCAGTACGCTCTGCTTCACTTAGCAGGATATGACAGCGTTGGGGTGAGTATGATTCACCGTTTGACTTCATTAGGATTGGTTGGCCTCTGTTTGCGTAGTTGAAAATCCATCTGGGTTTTCGCCACCTTATGAGAAAAATCCTTTCGGTAATCAAATGGATGATTTTTGGTGATTATGGGTTGGATAGTGAACATGGAATCTCTGCAGGCTAATGCTTCTGATGTATTTTTTTGACAGCTGAATTGTTTGACTTGTCGTTCGATTAGATCAGGAGAGTTTAATAACGTACTTGTTTGTTGCCCGCTCATTTTCTTTTAGCTTTTATTCTTTTATGTTCATTAAGCATAAACTATTTGTAGGAAAACTTTCTTGCTGGGGAAATTCTTGTTTCACGGGCAATTTTTTTTTTTTTTTAAGCTTAGCATCTGTATGAAGTTGTTTCCGCGGAATGTTGAAACTGCTTTACATCATTTTTGGAGTTCTGAACCTGCTTGTAATCCGTTTTTGGTCGGATGATATCAAGTTAATATGACTTCCAATGTAATATCTTGCACAAGAATCGTCATTTAACGGGAGCTATTTTTACTTTATACAATAGGAAGGAGATTTAAAGGAGTTCCGTCAATGGGGAAGCCGAACTCCAGGACACCCAGAGAACTTTGAGACCCTGGGAGTTGAAGTGACAACAGGTCAGATATACCTTAGTTATATTTATATGATAAAATATTTTCCATATGTCCTGTTTGAATTTTTTATGCGGTTTAGCCACCCAATTGCCTCACCATTTCTTTTGTTCAGGTCCTCTTGGTCAGGGCATTGCTAACGCTGTTGGTTTGGCCCTTGCGGAGAAGCATTTGGCCGCCAGATTTAACAAGCCTGACAATGAGATTGTTGACCATTACACGTAAACGAACTATATTTTATTACTCCTTCCTCCTTCAAGTTAATTATTAGTGTGGACATATAGTTTTCTTGTATGACATTTCACCAATAGTATTTGTTTTCTCTAGGTATGCTATTCTTGGCGATGGTTGTCAAATGGAAGGAGTTGCAAATGAAGCATGTTCACTAGCTGGACACTGGGGCCTGGGGAAGCTAATAGCTTTCTATGATGACAACCACATCTCCATTGATGGTGACACAGAGATTGCGTTTACTGAGAGTGTTGAGACACGTTTTGAGGCACTTGGGTGGCATGTTATATGGGTAAAGAATGGAAACCATGGCTATGATGATATTCGTGCTGCCATTAAGGAAGCAAAAGCTGTCAAAGACAAGCCCACTTTGATTAAGGTTAGTAATTCATGCTCACAACATAAATAAAGTTTAGCATATAGGACACATTTTAATCTCACCATGACTTAAAAGTCTAAGAAAAATGGATCTTTTAAGACTTGATTCTTATTAGAGATGCTGAATGTGATAGATGATAAAGCAAAGCAGAAAAAGTTACTAATATGAGTTTTATACTGGTCTAATATCAGTCTTTTGCTGAACTTATCCTGTTTTACAGGTGACTACGACCATTGGTTATGGTTCTCCAAACAAGGCAAACTCCTACAGTGTGCATGGAAGTGCACTGGGGGCCAAAGAAGTTGATGCCACGAGGAAGAACCTTGGCTGGCCATATGAGCCTTTCCATGTTCCTGAGGATGTTAAAAAGTATTAGTGATGGCTTTAAAGATTACCTCATTCTCTACTCATCAATTAAGATTTGTATATATTCCTGAACGAAACTTGCTTGTTTCCATCCAGGCATTGGAGTCGCCACATTCCTGAGGGTTCTGCGCTTGAAGCTGAGTGGAATGCTAAGTTCGCTGAATATGAGAAGAAATACAAGGAAGACGCTGCAATGCTGAAGTCTATTATTAGTGGGGAATTGCCTGCCGATTGGGAGAAAGCACTTCCGGTAAGTCAAGTCCTATATTCTACACTATTAGGTTGCTCACTATGTCTAGATCAAGGTAACCTCGCAAGGTATCAATTCCAAAATCCAAGATAAATCTTATGTTAATGAGTTTCATCTTTATATTAGATAACTCAACCTCTTTTTAAATTCTTACCACTGCACTTGCAATTTCTGTGTGCATTGTTTCAAAAGTTATTCCAATTACCCACACCTGACATTCAAGAATTGATTATGGCTGGATTATTGATCATTTATTTCAATTTGATTTCAACTTTCAGACATACACTCCAGAGAGCCCAGCAGATGCGACCAGAAATCTGTCTCAGCAAAACCTTAATGCCCTTGCAAAGGTTCTTCCTGGGCTGCTCGGTGGCAGTGCAGATCTTGCCTCTTCCAACATGACCTTGCTGAAAATGTTTGGGAATTTTCAGAAGGATACCCCAGAAGAGCGTAATGTTAGATTTGGTGTTAGAGAACATGGAATGGGAGCAATCTGCAACGGCATTGCTCTTCACAGCCCTGGATTGCTTCCTTATTGTGCTACTTTCTTTGTTTTCACTGACTACATGAGAGGCGCCATAAGGCTTTCTGCATTATCCGGGGCTAGAGTAATTCACGTTATGACCCATGATTCAATTGGACTTGGAGAGGATGGCCCAACTCACCAGCCAGTAGAGCATTTGGCAAGCTTCCGGGCAATGCCAAATATTTTGATGCTCCGTCCAGCTGATGGTAATGAAACTGCCGGAGCTTATAAGGTTGCTGTTCTCAACAAGAACAGGCCTTCAATTCTTGCCCTTTCTCGGCAAAAATTGCCCCAGCTTCCAGGCACATCTATTGAAGGAGTTGAAAAGGGTGCATACATTATTTCAGACAATTCATCAGGAAACAAGCCTGATGTCATTTTGATTGGAACTGGTTCTGAATTGGAAATTGCAGCCAAAGCTGCTGAGGATTTAAGGAAGGAAGGTAAGGCCGTTAGGGTTGTTTCATTTGTTTGCTGGGAACTTTTTGACGAGCAGTCAGATGCCTACAAGGAGGGCGTTCTTCCTGCTGCTGTATCAGCTAGAGTTAGCATTGAAGCAGGAACAACATTTGGATGGGAGAAGATTCTTGGGAGCAAGGGAAAGGCAATTGGAATTGATCGGTTCGGTGCAAGTGCTCCGGCAGGAACCCTATATAAAGAGTTCGGTCTCACCAAGGAAGCTGTTATTGCTGCAGCCAAGGAATTGTGTTAGATGTCATATAAAAGTTCTTCTCTTTTTAGAACTTTTTTTTTTTTTTTCAACTAGTTCTGGCTTTCGTTTCTACGATTAGGTAATGAGTAGGGGATCTGTTGAGAGCAGTCTCCTTTGTTTGAATAATGCAGCATGAGATCGTTGCTGCTTGCGATTCATGGTGATGATTGAAGGAGCGTCATGGTGAAAGGAGAGTAGAAGTATATGAATTTGACAATTTGTAACAACTCTTTGACCATTGAATTTCGTGATTGCGGTTAAAATTTAATGTTCAGAGTTTCCCATTTGGCCATTTCTATCTGCTATATGGTATTACTTAGTTTGGTTTGAGTATTGATAACAGATTTAGATTTTTTAAGGAAAATTGAGTTTTTTTTTTTTTTTTCCCATCTCCACTCTGGTAGGTGCGAGATATGTACACACACATATATATTTGGTGAAAGGTAGGTAGGATATTTTATTTTACTTGTTTTGTAATGTATATAATTTATGTTAAAATGGCCTTTTTATATCTATGAAGTTCATATGTTATTCTGTCCTGCTCACTTGAACTGACTGTCCTAACTTCATCGTTTCACTGAGTTGATTTATAGCGATCGTGTTATGCCATTTTGTTTGATTTTTATTATAGTAAGTATTAATTTAATTCGTTCTGGAAAGAAACAAGAAAAGAGAGGAAAATATTGAAGAAAATAATGAGGAATCGTAATATTCATCATATAGCCATTGAAAAATGTTTTAATGAAGAAAAATAGATACAATCCAATTAGATGTTTTAGGAGATCACAATACTATAGCTGAGAATTGCTTTTAAAAATAAAGAGAATGACAGAAAAATACCACTTCATATCTCAATTAGAACCTCAAAAATACCTAATTATTTTCAACTCGATTCCCCCCCCCCCTTTTTTGGGGAAAAAGAAGTTTTTTTAACTATTGTCGTGCTTCTTTGACTTAGTTGACACAGCTCTACCCAGCCATGAAAGGACGTCTATTTTTGGCACTGTAGCATGGAATTCAATTTAATATCTAGAGAAAGCTTAAAATTAATAATAATTAAAAAAATAGTCGAAAAGTTATAATATTCATAACTTGTTTTGTAAATTTAATATTTTCTATGGATTGATATGTGGTCCCATAAAGTTGGCAATATAAAAATGCAAAGTCGGTTGTTGAAAAGCTTAAGTATTGCACAACATTGAATGTTAGATTAGCTACTTTTGCCATGCATAATTATATGCACTTACCAGCTATAAAATTTTATTTTAATTTTATAATTATATGCACTTACCAACTATAAAATTTATTTTAATTTTACAATTATATGGACTTACCAACTATAAAATTTTATTTTAATTATACATATATAGCTGGTAAGTGCATACATATGCTGAGAATTTAATATTTAGTAGCACGTTTAGCAGCCTTCACGATGGTTAGCTCATTGATGTTGATTGATCATAGATATCATAATAATACAATAAGATGTTGTCATTATATGACATCTTCAGTTTTAATTTGCGTTCTATTGTTGACTTTGTATTTATGATATATGAAAAGATAATATAATTATATGGTTGATTTTTTGTCTTCAGTTCAAATGAAAATGATAGTATTTGAATCAACCTACAAATTTTTAATATTCTAGAAGTTAATGTGCTCTGGAAGCACAGCTTTCATATTATATTTCTTACCTTGCAACTGATACATAGCTTTTTTTTTTTTTAAAAAAAAAAAAGAAAGATCCTTTATTCATTTAAGTTGCAAGAGTTTCCCCAAAAAAAAAAAAAGTTGTAAGAGGCTTTATGAAGAATTTGATCCCATTTGGTAACAAAAGGAGGGGGAAAACATGAAGAAAGTAAGGAAAAGTCTAAGATTAATGTAAGAGACATTATCAGCTTTGCATAATTGCATTAGGATTAATGTAAACTAATCTAATTAATGGATCATGTATGAAATTAGAGGTCATGTAATGAGAATGCTCATCGGGAAATCTTTTTAGGTAATTAAAAAGTCTTATATCAGGTAAGTAGTTGGGATGTATGGTCTGTCTCAAAACATGATTCTTAAGGAATGCTCATCTTGCAAATTAAATCAATTTGGATTCCTAAACGCCATCTAATTAAAAAAAAATTATGCAGTTTTAAGAAAAGGATGTATTTACAAAAAGCCTTGTAATTACTAAAACAAATGAATCACAAGTTTCACAGCAAAAAATATCAGGTCTGTCCTACCAATTTATTGTTGGAACTTTTTTGACAATTATATTATCTAGGAACCTCACGTGATTTCCTCAAAAATTACCCAAACATCCATTCTCCGCACAACAGACCCTCCACCCCACTGCTTCTTCTCCTTCATTCTTGACAGCAGCATAGTCCATCTCCGTCGTCCATCAGCCGGTGGCGGCCGTGACCGTCACCACCTTACTAGAATTTGGGCTGCGTTCACACGTTGGCCATTGGCCCCAAATTTGCACCGTCATACCATATGTCGTCCTCCCCACAGCACCATCAACCACCGGATCTCTCTATTGAACATTTGTACAGCTTCAGCTTCGCACGCCACTCACAATTCAAACATGCTGCGCATCATCAAGCTGTTCTGCACCAAGAGATCTGAGGATTATACTACCTCCGGTCTTTCACATAAAACTTTAGTTGACCAATTTGGATAGATTAAGAAAATTAGTTAAGTTAATTATTTGTTATAAATAGATGTTCTCCTTCTTAAAATAGCCTTGATGATTATGTATATTAGCTAAAATTACTATTTGATAAAAATTTTAACATATACAGCTACTACAGAAACAAAGATAATATGTTTGAAGTATTTGACGGGTCTAAAACTCCAAAAATGAGAGTTGTTGCTGGAGTTAGGGGTGTTCAAGACTGACACTCCTGATTGGCCCGTTCCGGTCCCGGTCTTATTGGGACAGGATTGGCCCGTCCTAAAATTTTTCAGAACGGGAAAAACCGGCACGGGACAAAAAAAGGACCGGGACGAGACGGGATCGTCCCGTCCCGGTCCCTTTTATTTTTTTAAATTTTTTATCCTATTTATATAATATTATTTTTTTTTTAAGATCTAACACTATTATATATAACTATGAATATATTTATTTAGAGTTTTTATATTTGTTAATGATTTGAGACTATTGATGATTAGAATTTCTAACAAGTTTTTATTGTATTAAAAGCTTTTGTTTAAAGTTTTTAATGATTATCATATGTAATATTTTAGACTTTTGTTTAAGGGTGTCCAAAAAAATAAAAAATAAAACAAAAAGATGTTTTTACAAGGACTAAACCCAAAAAACTACAATTAGGGAAAAAAAACAGATTTTATTAAAAAAAATTAAAAAATTGAAAAAAATTTTAAAAAAATATCAGGACATCCCGATCCCGTCCCGATCAGAATCGGGACAACACTAGGATGGGACAGAACATGGGATAGAAAATCTATCCTGTTACTATTCATCGAAACAGAACCGAAACAAGCCTATCCTGATCCCAATCCGTCCCGTGAACAGCCCTAGTTGGAGTTTCTAGGTTCTCTTTCGGGACTACATAATGTTTATATTAATTCCTCAAATATAAACAATGACAATAATCCATCACCATGCCTTTTCAAAAGTACCAGATACCAAAACTTATCTAAATTCATGGACCAGATATCTCTCTTCTTCACAAAGATGAAATGGATACTTGAACTAGTATTTGAGGCAGCCAACATCGACATCACCCCCCGCCCGGTGGGGGGGGGGGGGATGACAGCATTTTCCTAGAGACAATGATGATAACACCACATATTTCATATATATGCCGCATTAATACGATTCTGGACATGAGTTCCCAGAAAAGTTACAATCTTGATCTCTTTGGATTTTTAAGCCGGATATTAGCACACAACAGAATGAAACCTGCAAGTAAACGCTGACACCCACAGAGCACATTTCATCTCAAAGGCCACTGACCAGTAACAGGAATGTAATATATTACAAACAGCATTATATTACAGGATCAGAAAACGCAACTTGAACTAGCTACATACATCAGCAGACTGTTTGGACAAAAGGTCTGCATGTATTTGCCAAAATCATTCGGCAACCTTCATATTAGAGAGATAGACTTTACTCTGAATCACACTTCCACCAATCCAGAATCCAGGCATGACCATCAGCCCAACCTTGGGCTTCACATCACTGTCATCCATGACCAGATTCTTTATCACGCTTTCCATATAGATCTCAGAGAATTCACTCCCCGCTTTAACCTGAAATACCTTGACATTTGGCTCAAATGAATAGGCAAGTCTGTGCAAAAGCCAAATCGACTTGGCAAGTTTCAGAAAAGCCTGGTAAAAAGCAGTCCTTGGATGTCCACCCCCAACTAAAAAATTTCGCTGATCCAGATTTCCAAAGAATGATGCTTCCATCTTTGGATGAACAACCACTAAGTACTTGCTCCGACAAAATTTACCAAAAATGGAATCTGGATTTTGCCCTAGCATATCCAAGGGATCCGTCTCCCTTGAAGAAAGAAATTGATGGAAGAAGCTTTCCCTACTGACAGTAATATTGTCTGTTTTGACACCAAAGCTTTCCAGCTCAAAGCCACTAAACATCCTTTGACATATGTAGGACTCAAATGCATATTTCTTATGAGCTCTCTTCGTGTAAATGACATTAGATTCAATTGAGTGGGCAGCAGCATCAAGATCCCACCCAGCTGCCTTCATCATGTTGATCAACGGTTTAGAAAAATCATGAATGGCTTTTGAAGCTGCCTCTGCAGCAGATGTGAAAAGATCTGGTGTAAGATCAACTGGGAAAAATCTATTGTCATCTTCAGAGTCTTTGGTTAACAAACCCCTAAGCTTCAGATTCTTTTCTAACTTAGCCCGCTTCTGGCCAGCCTCCTCAATCTGCTGTTGCAATTGATGGATCTCTGAATCTTTGTTTTGAATTTCAGACTGGAACTTTTTCACCATAACCTCATAGGTTTTCAGGAGGCTCTGCTGTTCTTGAATTTCTGCAGCCAAACGAGAGTCTTGTGGGGAAACACACACTGGTTTTGGGTTGTTTTCCCTATAGAAATGCTTGAGTTCAGACAGGTTCTTCAACTCCGCAATAACTAGTTTATCTGCAGTCTGGATTTTATCAGGATCATAGGGAGTATGAGCAGACTGAAGCTGGATATAAGCTGACTTCAGGGAAGATATGTTTGTAAAGAGTCTAGACATTAAAGTTTCCGAAGCTTCAGGATTCTGATTCATGGCCTCTTCCACAGGTTGAGGGTGGACCTTCTGACTATTGTTTTCACGTAATTGCGTCTCTTTTGCTCCAGTGGGTAGCATAGCTAAGGCCAACAAAGAGATAGTTGGATATGCTATCCTTCAGCAAAACCAAAACTCACGCACAACCTGCAAGATTTTTCGGAAGCTAAATCAAGGTATTCACTGCAAAAATTGCATACCTGCCTTGAATACATGGGTGCTAAATTCCAGTTTCAAACCCAAAGTACTATGTTAGTAGTTTTACATGGGTGTTCATGGATAGTGAGTAAACAGTAGTTAGTAATCTATTGGAATATTTTAGTTTGCTAGCATCCTTTAATCATGCATAGGAGATTTATGTGATTGGTATGAATGAATTATATACTGTAGGGTGTGTTTAGTTTTGCAATGTACGAATCAAGTGATTATTATGATTGACCAGAAATATTAGACTAACTTTGTGCTTTGATAATTATGTTTTGTGACTTGATGATTATTGTGTTTGAATAGTTAACGTGTGTCAAATGTTACTTCAAATTTATGTTCATCCATCTCTTGTTTATATAGCATATATTTCATACTTTAATGTCTTCACACAAGAGCATAGGCAGACCTATATAACACTCAGTGGAGGCAGATGCCCCACTGAAATCTTTGAAATATGAATAGTTGCTATACCGTCCTTTTATTTTTTGTTCCAGATACTTTGACAAAGATGCCTCAGTAAGCCAATTGATACAGGCAACTCCTCCAAGCCACTGAAGAAAGACAATTTAAACACAAGCTTCTAAAGTGTTGGACACAACTCGGGCCAAGTCATTTACCAGATCATGCATCACAAATACCTTGACAGATCTCTAGATAAAGGATAATATAAATATAGTAATAGACAATGCCAGTACACAACAAATCCAACATTGCCAAACAAAACAATCCAAAACATACAAGTCGCTAGTAATCAAAACGAAGAATGTAGAAGTATAATAGCCAAGTACACAACAAAATCTAGTAATAATTTTTTCAGGAAAAAAAATGTAAACTCAATCTTTATTCAAAAGTGTCAGTATTCAAACGATTATGCGACCAGATTCAAAGCCTAATTGAAATGAAAAATTTTAAATAAAGTAAGAAATAGTGCGACCTCGTCCGGCACAGATTTGACAACAACTCTGAGAACAAATGACGCGGGGAATAAATTCAGATCTAGATTCAAAGCCCGATTGAACAAATCAATCTCACCCGATTTTGAGAGTAGAAAAAGCCTTTGAGTTCGAACCTTCCGCAACACTTGTCCGGGAACAGCTGCGCAGGACCCCACAACGGCGGACGGCGTCCGACGGCGAGCTCGACCAAGTGTGGAATGCTTGTCCGTCGACGAAGAAAAATGGATCCCTACTTCTTACCACCCGACCGGGGTTATAATTTATAATTATTACTTTTTTGGGGGAATTGGCTCCCAAAAAAATAATAAACTATTTTTTCCTTTTCACGCGCAACATCTGCATGCTAATTTGCATTGTCATTAGAATTCAGTTTAAGTTTTTTTCCCAGAAATTCAGTCTTAATTTAATATCAACCAAGTGATATTTATTTTATATTTCCCTTTTAAAAAATTACTATAGAATTAAACTTAAAACTTTATTTTTATTCTTTTAAAATTCTAACAATTTGATTAGAGCCAGGAAAACAAATCGAGCCTGTTGGGCTAGTCCATTTAAGTCGAGTACCAAACTTGTATTTTGGAGTTTTAAAAGGAAAGTCAAGCTTAAAAAGGTTAGTCCTGTATAACCAAAAATAAATAGGCCAGTCTTGTAAGATCACAGGCCGATTAGTTTAAGCCCGCCAATATTTTTTTAAAAAAATTTCTATATCTTTTTCTTAACTTAAAAAGAAAAACTCTAACATTTTACACATAGCATACTCTTAGTTTCACTTACCTCAACTACTCACACAAATAGCATTCACAAAAAAAAAAACCATAGTTGTTGGAAAAATAACTAAAATACGTGAAAATTGTAAAATTTAAAACTAGGCATATTCACAAAAATGTATTGTTATTTATAACCATAAATTGTCAAAACCTATTAAAATATTGATTATGTAATTTTACGGTCTTTATTCATCATTCTTCCATATTTTTTATACTTGAAATAGAATTGGTTAAAGAATATTTTGAATTAAAATAAAGATGTATATCATTTTTATAGTTAAAAACAAATTTAGAACTAGGGATAATCGAATCTTTTTTTTTTGTTGGTAAGACAAATGATTATTCTTTATATATACTATGTTTGTTAGTTAAACTTTTTTGTTAATTATTTATAATTAAACTAGATCATTCGTATTGTAATTATTTACTGAATTTAGTGCTTATTTAGTTGTTTATGTTTATCGTCTATTTAGTTTATTTATTCAATAGACTCTATTACACTGTGATAGATGTTTAAATATGATGATGGTTATGTTTGTGACTTATTTTTATTTTTATTTATATATTTTATTAGTAATTCTATTGTTTTATTTTTATTATTTCAATAAAATATGCAAAAAAAAATTTAAAAAAAATTACATTTTAATTAAACAAGCCAAAAATCCGCGGGCCAGTCCCAGCCCGTTATCTCATGGGCTAGGCTTGAAAAAATGATTCATTTCTAGAACTCAAGTCGGCTCGATTTTCTAATACTAAATTTGACAAAATATGACAATAAAAAGGTACCACGGTCAATGAAATTAGTCCAGAAACATTGTTGGGTTATGAATAAGTCCATTAATTTACTTTGTTTAAGATAAATTCTTTTTTTAATCATATCTCACCGTAAGTGATATAACTCTAAGATTTTATTAGCCTTATTATTTGTAATTTAAATTTTGAAGTCTCTATAATATATGCTTTGGGATGTCTGCTACACCACTTCATAATTAAAAAAAAAAATGATTGACAATATTTACATATTTGTATTGAGTCATTTTTCTTTCCCCTTACTCTCTTTTTTCCCTTTCTTTTTGCTTCATCGCCACCATTAATTAAAGTTTCAACCATTCCATAAATAAATCGAAATTTTAAAATGTTAGATTACATGTAACTAGCTCAAAGTTTAACCTAAAATCTGTATTAAAAAAAATCCTCAAATCTCATATATAAAGTTAAAGAAGTGATGCTATACTTTTAGTATTAGATAGGCTTAAATTATATTTAAAAAAAAAATCAAAGGGAGATTGGAGAATGAAGGTTTGAGGAAGGTCGATTTGGATTTGTGAAAATTAAAGCAAAAATCGTATCTAGAGTAAGCTAACAACAAACTCGTGAGCAGTTTTCAATTCCAATTAACACAAATAAGTCCAATCACGAGTTTTGGCTACTTCAATGTGTTTGTGCCGTTACTTGATATTGATATTGAAGGTTTCTCCTTGTAAAAATCCATGTTAAAGGGCTCGTACTCAAAATTAAATTGTGATGCAGAGCAGCCTTGAATGCAAGGGTCTTGTTTTCTTTTAAGAAATTAAAAATTGAGAGGATGCCTTGTGTGAAAAATATATACTTAGTATAAAATTATTAAATGGCATGTAGAATGCAATATAAGATGTTGCATAGCTTCTATTAATCTGATGTGGTGATTTCGGTTTAAAAAATAGTGGTAAGTTAACAGTACAGCGTTTGGGGATGTTAAATTTAAATTTAAAATATTAGGAAGGTTGTATGCAACTTACCTATAATTTAGGGGAGAGATTTTATATAATTTAGCCTTTTAGATATTAATCCTTATGATGTCTCAAGGGGAGTTGACATCGCACAAACACTGCTAATTATTTGCTGAGATGGATGGACTGAGTTTTGCCAAGTTGTTTAGATCTATTATGTTAAGTTCTCCCCATTATATACTCCCTCTGGTCCCATATATAAGCTTTATTTTTAAAGAAAGGTCTAGTCTAAAATATAAGTTTTATTTTTAAGTTTTTCTGAGTATTTATTACTTTTTTCCTGGACACATGACACGATTGGTGACTGAGTTTTGCTAAGTTGCTTAGATCTATTATGTTAAGTTCTCAATTATATACTCCATTTGGTCCCATATATGAGCTTCACTTTTGAAGAAGGGTTTGATCCAAAATATAAGCTTCAGTTTTGAGTTTTTCTGAGTATTTATTACTTTTTTTTTAGCATATATTTGCTAAGATGGATGGACAAATGGTATGATTGATAACCGAGTTTTGCTAAGTTGCTTAGGTATATTATGTTAAGTTCTCTAATTACATACTTCTTTCAGTTTCATATATAAGTTTTACTTTTGAAGAAGGACCTGGTCTAAAATATAAGTTTTATTTTGAGTTTTTCTAAGCATTTGTTATTTTTTTTTCCCCTAGTATTTAGTATTCTCTTTTATTAATATTACCTCCATATATTCTCTTTGATCTTTTTTTATTGTCTTTCTCATTTATTTTCTTAATAAATAAGGCAAATTTAGAAAATAAAAATACATTTATGATCTATTTATTATGTTGAACTAATTTTAACTGCTATTTTATTAAATTTGATTCGATTATTTAAAATTTATATATAAGACTGAAAAGAGTATGATCATATATCCTATTTTTAAAATATTAACATTTAATAGCTCTTAACTATAAATCTACACGTCATGAGTACTATTTTTCAAACATGCTTGGAGTGTTTTGTGACATGAAAAACTTTTTCATAAAACGAGTTAAATTTTTTCGTGTATTTATTTTGTATATTATAAAAAGTTAAAGTCAATTGGTTTTTTCTTGCTTTTTTTATGGAATGCAAAAATCAAAATGCAATGGTACTTGGGAAAAAAAAAAAAAAAAGGATGTGAAGCGAGAGCTTGAGTGCTTGACACACAAAAACGGCATAGCATAATCAAAACGCGGGGCGAGAAGGTTGCTCGGTGGGGTAGAAGAGATCGATTAGCAGTGGCTAGGTGGTGAAGGCGGAGAGGGAATCATCGCCTGGGCACGGTGGACAAGAAGCGATCGACTTGGAGGGGCTCGGCGGTGAAGCTAAAGAAGGAATCACTGCTTGGGCTAGATGGAAAAAAAGGAATCATCGCGGGAAATCGGTGAAGAAAGAATCATCGCGTTAGAAGGAACTGGTAAGTTTTTTTTTTTTTTAATATCAGATTTTGCCTCTTATGTGTGTCTATGAGGCGTCTATTTTGAGAAGTATCCCTCCTGAATGCGAAAGTCTGTTTTGTTTGTCGTTGGAGCTCGATGGAGTTGGAGAATGCTCCATTTTTCTTTTTGTAATTCCAAGCTCTTAAGTTAGCTTTTTGATTCAAAAGAATAGCTTTTCTGCGTTTTATTCCCATTATAATGTTGATCCTACTGCTTTGCGTTTTGATTAACGGGTTCCATGAAATAAACCAATAAAAAAAAAGCCTAGTCAGCTATTTTGTCCATGTGGTCTTCCAGGTCAGTAAATAATTAGACAGTGTCAGTGCCATGTCAGCTCAGTTTGCCACATCATCAAACATTAGGAAAGCAAAATACTAACTTCATCAACAGAATAAAACTATATGTACTGATATCTGAAGTATAGGGCCTAAGACCAAGCCAAAGTTGACCAAAACTGAGGACTAAAAATATATTTTTCCTTACTATTGGTTTTTATTTAGAGTAAAAATACAATATGGCTTCCCATTGTTCATATTTAGATATCTTACATTTGGACATGTCAATATGTTAATTGTATTTCTCACTTTTATACTATTTTTCCTAAACAGATCTTGATGTTTCAGAGAGTGGAGCTTCTGAAATTTTGAAATATGTGTCACAATTTAGTAGGTTGGACGGATCAAGCAGGAGTCCTGCTACTTTTGATGGTATGAACTTTGTTCTATTTATGGCTAAGTTTGTTTTTGATTTGGAAAATAATTGTAATTGCATGTTTTCTGGAAATATCGTTTGCTTTGGAATGAAGATTCTTTATCTAGTGTCAAAACTTCTGTGTTTGTGACCATTTTCTACGTCATTTAATGCATGCTAAACTAAAAGATGACACCATCATCACCCATCCTGTGACTCAGCTTATTACAGATTATGGCTTGATTAAATTTGACCCTCTGACATTATATCATTTAATCTGATTATATTAAATTTATGTTTGCTTTTTTCTTATTCTTTTTCCCCATTAGTAACGTGAATCTTCTCTATAGCATATGCATGCACTCTTGTAGAGAAGCTGCTAGTTGGGTATCCCAATTATTTTTGCCATCTCAATCCAATATCCTTTATGTGAAATCTGCAAAAGAGTGGAAAAAAATTTTAATACCTTAATCCAAAATACTGGATGCCAAAACTGAACAAAATTACTGAAATTACCAAGAACGAAGTAATTGTTTTGAAAGATCACCTATGCACAATGGTTTGCATGGATAACGAACTCCACCATAAGTGAAATATAAAGAATTTACTGGATGCTTGTTTATGCTAAATTGTCTATATTTTTGAGAACGAAATGATAACATCCTCTGTGGTACTCCATTATAAGTGAACTATGTAATGGATGCTTGGTTATCCTAAGTTGTCTAAACTGTTTGGAGTGAAATGATAGCATCTTCAGTGGGTAATCTCTCTTCATCAGTTTTTGTGATATTGATGCTTCAAAGTGAGTAAGGATAATGAAATATAACATACTTGACTGTCACATGATATCTTTTGTTGGCCTTTTGTTCAGCCACTGGAAGATAAGAAATTTGAGTTTGATGGGAAGTCTTTTAAATCTAATTTTTAGAATTACGATGTGAATCCTTTTATGTCTATAAAAACTCTCAACTATTCTCCAGAATATAATTCAGTTAGGAAAATGAGAGAACTCAAGGATACAGTAGCGCACCATTGGCATTGACAATGCGCCTCTCACAGTTTTCTCAGAAAATCTTACCTCACTATATGCTCAAGGCCCCAACAAAACCCCCCTGATCTTCATATTCTTTGGCATGGAAGGAAGGGAGACAAGATATAAGAAGAATAAGAGAGGTTACCAAAATTTTCGTTTACAATTGTCATATTGTGGCCTATCCTCATACAAGCTAGTTAAAGATTCTTCTTATCACTGAACCTACACGCTCAGCAACACTCCCCTCCCAAAAAACAGCCCTTGTCCTCAAGGTTGGTTTCAAAACAGAAAATCAGGCATCATTTGCTGTTAGTCTAATTCTTGAACCCAAATGGCCTCTTCTTCTGGCAATTCCTTACATTGGACTAGCAATTCTGTTGTTGTCCTACCCCTCTTTTGAATTCTTTGCGCATTCTTCTCAAGGGCCTACAGTTCTAGGCAATTAAGACCGCCTTTTGGAGGATGGCATTGGGCTGTAGCAGGATGAAGACATGATTTCGAGGAAGATGCATGGGAGGTGTGATGTGTCCTTTCCAGCTTATAGGCAACCTATCCTACCTTGTGCAGGATATTGCTCCCTCGTATTTGTTCTCGGTTTCTGGATGCCTCTTGCAGTAGCCCCTTTGTTGGTTGATCCTCAGGAGTTTTGCTTTCGCTTCATTTTCTGTTATTGTTTCGTGTAGGTGCGCAGACTGCTTGGACAATGCTCAGTGAGGAAAAGTTTTTACCATGCATTACAACATCTTGTCTGGACCTGGATAACATCCTTGGTGGAGGTATTAGGTGCAGAGAAGTCACCGAAATTGGTTAGTTAGCAATGTCATTCGACTCATTTTTGTGAATTGTATAATAATCACTGCTAATTGAAAAGACAAAGCTCTGCAAGTGCCTTCCCCTTTCTAGCTTTCAATTTAATTTTTTGTTTATTTGTTTAGGTGGAGTTCCAGGAATTGGTAAAACACAAATTGGGTATGCTTTGTCATTCCAAGTTTCAACATCATATCATGCTGATTTTTTTCCCTTTTAATTGTGAGATATGTTGGTTATCGTAGTAGTGCATGATATTCACTTTGACAGGATTCAGCTTGCAGTTAATGTTCAGATTCCAATAGAATATGGTGGCCTGGGCGGGCAAGCTATATACATTGGTAAGAGCCGTTTGGTTTTTTGTTTATGCTTGTCGACTGCTGAGCATGTAATAGGATTTTCTGATTGTTGATTGCTATCCTTGTGCATGTCTTGTATAACTCAGACACAGAGGGTAGCTTTATGATGGAGCGTGTTCTACAGATTGCTGAAGCCTGTGTAGAAGACCTGTCAGAATATGGCCACCTTCGCAAGGATGCTCAAGATTCTCAAGTTAAAATGCACCCTAATAATGTTTTGCAAAATATATTCTACTTTCGTGTTTGCAGCTATACTGAGCAAATTGCTTTGGTAAATTACTTGGACAAATTTGTCACAGAACATAAAAGTGTAGGTATTAAATTTCATATATTGAACAGATTTTCTCCAGCAACCTTCTTGAGGATGATTTTTGATATGTAATTGCCTTATTCATTTGCTTCATAATCTGCTTTGATTATAGACCATGAGAGTACTCTTGCTATGACCGTATTTTCTTTTCCTTTCTTAATCAAACAATTCTTTTTTCCTTGTCTAATTTCAGGTGAAGATCATCATTCTTGACAGTGTTACCTTCCACTTTCGCCAAGAGTTTGATGATATGGCCCGCAGAACTCGATTACTCAGTGAAATGGCTTTAAAGTTTATGAAGCTGTCGAAAAAGTTCGGTTTGGCTGTAAGAGCTACTATATTTTGCATCATACATGTTGCAGTTTTGAATTTACTTGCTTACGGATAGTTTTACGTGTGGACAGTCTTATCATCTCTATTTCAAGTTTTTGCTTGACAAAAACAGGCATTTTTGGCTTAGATGTCAAGTAGAAATTTTCATTCTCCGATGCCTTCCTCAATGCGTCCACTAATTTTCAGTTATAAATTCCATTTTATGCCAGGTTGTAATGTTAAATCAGGTAACAACCAAGCTCATTGATGGTTCGTTTCAATTGGCCCTTGCACTTGGTAGGTGTCATTTTGAGTTTTACATTCCGCCCATTGTTTGTATGTGAAATTGTACTATCTATAAACTATCTTTTGCGATCTCATCATCATATGGATTTTGATTAAAGCGAGACGTTTGTGATGCTGAATAGGTGATAGCTGGTCACATATGTGCACAAACAGGATCATCTTATATTGGAATAGCAATGAACGATTTGCATTCATTGACAAGTCCCCCTCTCTTAAATCAGCATCCGCATCATATTCTGTGACCAGCAGAGGGATTCGCAATTCTACTTCAAGTAGTAAACGGATTAAAATGATGTGATGTTATTCTGTTTTTTTTTTTATTTAAAACATTATATGGATAAGATCAATTGCCAAGTCGTCTTCCTTTGTTACTTGACGTAGTTGATATCTGAACTTAGAAACTTTTTGTGGCTTAGAGGATGTGACATTGAGTGAAAAATTAGATCTTGGGTTCGACATCTTAGCATGAAATTTGAAATGAATTGCATTTGTATAATTTCATCTAGATTATATAAAGATGTGTGTGTGTGTGTGTACACAGATTCAATAGCTACCTATATTTTTGATATGCAAATCCGGTCAAGGTAAAAAGAAGATATGCAAAACTAAATGAAAAGTAAAATTGGGAAATAAAATTGAAAACATAGTATGATTGGCCCAAAATTATCAATATATAAGATGATTCATATCCCCACTTGAAAAAAAAAAAAGGGTTCTACATTTATAGATGAAATTTGAAATTAACAGTTTCGAGTATGATATATAATTGGAAAAATCTTAAAAAATATTTCTAAAATTTTAAAATCTCTAATCAGAAATGATTAAAATATGTTGTGATTTATTTTTCAAATGTTGTTAATTGTTACTAACATATAATAAAAATGACTGATTTGAAATTTTAAAATAAAAGTATTTTTTTGAGATTCTCTTTTTATAATTTAAGTAGCATGGTTTCTTATTACTGACATATAATATGTATAAATATATTTCAATTTAATTTGTCTGAGATGCAAAACAAAATGGGGTAAGAAAATGGGGAAAAAGTTGGCCAAAAAAAAAAAAGAGAACAAAATAGGATGATTCATATCGTCCGTCGTCATCTGATAGACTTAAATGGGCATAGAGCAGGCTTTTTTTTGGGCCAAAAAATTGAACAGGCTTAAGAAGATGTATTCTATTAGTTGAGGACAAGTTTTATCAGGGAAGTTTATATCAACTTGGCAAAAATCATTTTCCTCCTATTTCTTGGTATGTTAGTTAAACTTCTAGATTTAAGATGGATACTACACAAAAGCAGCGGCAGCAATGACGATAACGACATAAGCCGCTAGATATTTATAACGAGAATATGGCATAATTCACTTTAATGAAAAAAATAGATTATTCATCATCTAATTTTCATTTTAAAAAAAAAATTAAGACAACAAACAGACAACTATGTAAACCATCAACGTTGAAACCTTGTAACTGTAGAGCCTGCAATGCAATGCTTGTAGCTTATGTGACCTTAAAACCCAAACGAAAAGGGCAGTGTTGGAACTTGAAATAGCACGCCCCTTTACGATTTTAGCCAATCAAAAACATTGGGTGAAGTTGGCAGTCTAGCCGTTAGAACCTCAACACCTGTCTCCGTCACCTAAACCAGGAAAAAGGTATCAAACATTATGATCCCTACAGATCATATTAGAACTCAGAAAATATATACACGTAGTTTGTAGACTCATGAATTTGAACTCACCAGAAGTGTATGTTCAAATTGAGCACTGCGTTTGCCATCCGCAGTAACAGCAGTCCATCCATCAGGCCACATTCTATCCCGCCAAACACCTATTAAGAAATTTTTGTCAACAGTTCGGAAAAAGGGAATACTTGGGGGAAATTAAACATTGAAACAATGAGCAAAACCAATACCTGCATTAATCATTGGTTCAATTGTGAAGGTCTGCCCAGCCTTCATCACACCAACTGCTTTATTTTCTGCAAACTGTTAAGGTGTACAAGTTCGCCACCCTGTTTGCTTCCTGTGATCATGGCTGATGATCTTTGACAGAATGTTGTGTGGTAAGTTTAAGAAAATAGATTAAAAGCTTTTCACAAAAAGCAACATTTAGGGTCATACGTCAAACCTAATTTGAAAGAGGTAAACAAATTTTCGACTTCACAAAGCAAGATTAATCTTCCAAATAAGCAAAGTTTAGCAAATGGAAAAAAATACCAAGATTGTTATTAGAAGCCAAAGATACTCACGTGCCAGCTAGAAGAAACCAAAAAAGGAGTTTGATGCCCAAAGAATATAGCAAAGAGGTAAGTTTAAAGAGACTGACAAGTGATGAGGAAAACTTTCAAGAATTGTCTAGCTAGCATAAATTTAGAGAGAGATAACTTTCCCTTTGAAAATATTATTCTCTACCCGTCAAGTGGTCCCTTTTGATAAAATACTTAACGAATCCTATTGTATATTTCATCCTACCTACCTTGAGGCCCTTGGTATTCTATGGTTTGGAGTGGCTACACATTACCTAAACAATCAGTTATTGATTGGCTACTTTTTCATGGCAGATTGGCAATCAAATCTTTTGCAAGATGATATTTGCAAGTTTTGTCAAGATCACCCATAAGCACTGGACCGTTTATTCTTTGGGTCTTCTATCTCTGCTGATGTTTTTAAAAAGTTGATGGGTTGTGGTGATTTTGATATTGGCTTCAATAGACTATCTATGTGGCAGCATATTTTAGTACAAACTAGGTAAAATCGTAGGTTGATATATAAACTAAGGGTGGCTACATTCTATGCTGTGATCTATGTCATTTGTCAGGCCAAGAATGCTTTGGTCTTCCCACAGGAACTTCGAGATGGTGCTCAAATTTTTCAAAGAACTATAAATGACATGAAAGTTAAATGGAAACACTTGTTAGTAGGGAGAAATAAGGATACAAGGATGTTAGTTAGAAGATTTAACATCTTTTGGACTAATTATACTATATCTTGCAGATCATATTTTTTGTATTTTGATGTAACTTTTTGAGAGGAATATATATATATCAGAAGATGCAGAACACATTTTTTCAATATATGTTTTCCACATCCCTGCATACTATCAGTCAAGGATACTTCCATAATGGGGAATATTTGGTGCACAGTGGAAGAGCTCTCCAATCCCATGACCACAATATGATTTTACCTATTTAAGAGGGAGAGGGAAGCAAGAGTAAGGAACAGAGTTAATAGCCGTCAGCCAATCAAGCAAAGATAATCAAATGCATCAAGTTGTCACAAAATTTTGTGCATTACCACAGAGAAACCGGACATTGAAGCATGACGATTAATAACTTCACCAATCTCACGAAATCTCACCCCGGGTTTCACTGAAGTTGATGGGAGAAGAATTAGGAAAATATAATTGAACTTCTTAAACGACAATCAATGCTTACAAGACTAAGCATAAACAGTGCTTTTCCCATGACTCCTGGCCAATTAAACATAGTGAAATGTACATAATTATGGTTATCACTAACTTTTCCAAATGATGCTTGAAATGTATGGTTATCAGACTAGTTTTAAACGACACCAAATGGATGGAGCATCCTAAAGATTTTCTATATGAAATACAAGATCTGGCATTCGATCTGTACAATGCCAAGTATAAACACACATACGCACATAGTGCCAACACCTATAACTCATGAGTGTCAGCTGCATACTTAAAGAACATAGCCTTACTAAGGCAGCATGCATAAGAGCACTCAAGCAGTTCAAAAATTGAAACGTAACATGCAACTAAACTAGTAATAAATTAGAATATTTTTAAACATTCAAGCACTCTAAAGAAAACACTAATCCCACCTACATTATAATTGCACATGTCAATTTGGAAAGGTAAAGGTTCATTGTAATTGCACGTGTCAATTTGGAAAGGTAAAGGTTCATTAACAAAGTTAAATTTTCCAATGACAGTTTAATATCAACGACTATCCCTTTATGCAAATCCCCTCCATCCCTAACAATGAGAACCAAGTCTTCACTCTCAACAGTTCCTTCATAAACTATCCCGGAAAAGGCAGAGGACAGGGAATATCCAAGTTTACCAAAGTCTATAACTTTAATACTATCTCCGGTCCTTAATATAAGACTCAATTAACTAATTTCAGGAGATTAAAAAAGTTGCTAAATTACTTAATCATAACATACGTTCTTACATGGATCATTAGATTATATATCAATTTAGACGTGAGGCAAATTAGTTTGGAGAAAAACAATAAATATAAATAGTCTAAAGTAATTAAGTAACTTCCTTAATTTCTACAAATTAATCAACTATGTTTTATATTTAGAACTGAAGGTAGTATTTAGAGTCTAATCAGAGAGAGAGAGAGAGAGTTGAGAGTTAAAATTCAATAAACAAATACCAATTGATATTGCTTTATCCAGGCACTCGTATGTGCACTGGACCAGCCGGCGAGATTCTTCATCAACATTTCCCACAAAGTACGTTTCATTGAGATCAGCTGCACAACAACTCAAAGATTAACCAATCATGAAATCTTTAAGCTGAAAGTTGAAATAGCGTCACAAATGGACGCTAGTAAACTCACCATGAACACCATTATGGTACACAGTGACATCAACATTTACAATATCACCATCCTCAAGCTTCCTGTAGTGTAGGCATGTATTAGGTGAAGTTCTCAAGTTGATATATTTATTTACTTGAAGCAGCTATCAAGCTACCACTGATAAATGCATAGTTATCTAGAAAAGGACTACGTCAAAAGATAAGGGAAACTCAGGCTATTAATTACGCAAACCCACTCTCATGAAAATGCATCTCATCTAAAACAAAACAATAAGCTAGTGTTGAAGCCATTTTGACCACAAAACCACCAAGGATAATAGAGATTTTTTGGGTTAAAAAGTATAACACTAAAAAAAAATATATTTCTTAAAAATTTTATCACATTCACAGCCAAGTTTATGTAATTAATTCTATATTTAATGAATGTATTTAGATTGTGTTTTATGAATTATTGCCTATTAATCTGTTAAGTTTCTGTCAAAAAAAGATCTTATGAATATGTTCTATTTACATTTTACTCAATTTCAATTTTCACTAAATTTTAGAAAAAATGTTTATCATGCAGACTTTGGAGTATTTTAGTCAAAATGGGTTTAGTTGTAAGGTATCTTTTCATTTCAGGAAAGAGCAAGTAACGTTTCATAGTAGAGGAAAAGGCTGCATAATTAGGCTAAGGAAAGGATGGAAAAAATGTAACCCCTAAAAGGAATTTCTTCAGCAAAAGCATAGAACAATCTACCTTGCATCAGGAATTCCATGGCAGATCACTTCATTCACTGACCTGTTAAGAGTGGTACGCTATGTTAATAAATATGAAGAAGATGAGAAAATGAAACAAATACAGAGGGCAAGTACCTACGTGCAGCAAGACTTTGGGAAGAAATGGTAATTCAGAGGAGATGGATATCCTCCTGCAGTGACAAAAAACACATTCAATTACAACAAATGCCAGGTATTGATCAGAATAAAACCCTCAACCAGAACAAACCATTCTGGGTTGCCGAAATGCTTGCTCTGAAGTTTGAAGATAAATAAATAAGCATCAGGATCACACAAGATTATGCAAACCTACAATATGGATACCAATCTTGGCAAATTTTGGCAAATTTTGATCTTGTGTAGGATCAAAATTGAAGTTCAAGGGTGGGACCGCAAGATCATATGCTCTTTAATCAGAATTGCAATATCCAAAACTTGATTCTACAATCAAATGGTTTATTATAACCTATTTTCCCGACTTTCACATGATATAAGCGAAGTGGCCTCAACGATTTAATATTGAATGAAGACTCAATGTCTATGTTATATTCATCCAGTATATGCCAAACCAAATAACAAGCAAAAACACACCCAACAACAGAGTGCTTGATGAAAAAGAGAGAGCGAAAAGCTAATCAGCTCAAGAAAATGAAGTAGCATTGGCCAGAATCTAACAAGCCAAGGGAAATGATGCAATGGCTCCAAATAGAAGATAGAACCTATAAAGAATATGACACACAATATAAAACCTATAAGAAGCTGCATTATTCATAAGCTATGAACATAGCAGCTCACCCCAAACTCCATATAAAACCTAGGCCCACAATCTAGTTTGATAAAATAGTGTGTGCCTCAGGTAATTTAAACACATCATGACTTACAAAATAATCAAATCAACATGCTACTTTTTTATAGGGCATCCAAAAACAAAGCAATTTTAAGAGTTTGGATGAAATAGCTTTAGATCAGGATATACAAAGTAAAACAAAGGCATGCATGTTCCACGATGACACTGACAATAGTTGTAGTTATATGCTCCCAGTAGAGTTACAGGATTTCTCAGATATTCCAAACAATATAACGCACTCACTAAATCAATACCTGCAGCTACAGTCGCCTCATGGACAACTCTATCAACTTCATCAGTGGTTACACCTGGCTGAATTGCCCGAGCAGCTGCATCTAAAACTTCCCTTGCAATCTAGAAATTATGGCTCCTTCAGTCAAAGACATACACTTAAAAATAGAGCGCAATTATATTTAAAATTCCCATCATGGTTTAGGAAGCCATCAACAAAAGTTAAGCTCTATTAATAAATATAACCACTTTAAATATATAGGCAAAAGGGGAATAAAGTCACATACTCGGCATGCTTCTCTCATCCTCTGAATTTGATTTGGAGTTTTGATCTGCAAATCAATAACACATTCAGGATGTCAATCTAAAAAAAATACCGATAGCATACTCCAACATAATATTGCCAACAAATGCATTTTACAAATATTCACCTCAACAACATGCTGCAGATCACTTTTAGGCTCAACTTTGGGTATTCCCTACAAGCAGATGATAAAAAACATTTACAAACTACTAAGCCTGAGCTAAGTCATCAGAAGATGACCTCCAATTATTAAGTTAAATCTAGATATAAGGAATAATCAAAAATAACTTACATCATCAGCCCAATCAGGTTTATCAATATGAGCTGGTACAGTTCGTTTAGGAGATATGGGATATGGCCTCAGCATCCTTATCAAAGCAGCAATTAGACTTAGTTTCCAATTGTCAACAAATGAAGATGTTTGACCAAAAATTATAAACATATGCAGCAAATAAATGATGGGAAACAGTTGATAATTTCTTGTTACAAACATAGGATGCTTAAACTAATCAAATGCATGGATTAAAGGAAGGATAAGAGAAGAGAAAAACAGGAGAATCTGAAGTTCAGAAACAGTATTATATTGTTACTAATTTTGAATATGATCTTCTATGATGATTAAACATGATGTAAGATTTCTAGAATGCAGAAACAAAGTCCAAGTGACATTACCCCGTCCAATCAAAGTGAGGCATCTTTGGAATTCGAGCTTGCCCTTTCCTCAAGCAATATAACCACTCTTCACCATGTGAATCTGAATTTTGCTGCTGTGGATTGCCAGTCCCACGAGAAGTTAGCTTTGCCTTCAAGTGCACTGATTTGTGTGAACTCCATGAAGATTTGAAACAATCCTGCGTACTGTCAAGAAGTTTTAAAATTGGCTCCAAAATAAAGGATATTCAAATTGAGAAGATAAGTAGAATTATGAAACTTGTTTGCATGTAAACTCTCACAAGCATGTAATAAGTGGCTATTATTGGCCATCCCCACCTTTTACAGTTTGCCCAGCAAACTGCAAGCCTATAATTACTAACACATTTTTCCATGGATATTACATAAGATCCATCAGAACTTATTCTTCCTTCCACTAAAAACAACTTAAGAAGTGCAACCAGACCAAAATTTCAAAGTTCATCTCTTCATATTGAGGAACCCTCACCACGTGTAAACCTCTAAGGTCCACATTAGTAGATTAAAGAGATTAACAACATTCTGCAACAATCATTGAGACTCATCAACTCTTAAATTTTCACTGTAGAGCTCAGCAATTATGTAAATGTATCAGCTAATTGGAGAAGCAAAGAACTTTCCCACAACTTGTATAAAAAATTTCTACAAGAGAATTGTCGCTATAGAAGTTTTTTTAGCGGATGCTTCACTTCCCATTATCCACACAACTTCTATGGAATCTAAAGCACTCGCAAAAGCTGATGAAGCGGTAAATGATTACAAACCAGAAAGCAGCACCTTCGCGTGGCAGCTTCAATTCCACGCATTTTGGACACCTGAACACAGCAAAAGAGAGGATTGGTTAAACATTTTTTCTTCGGTGAAAAGGTTAAACATGCTTATATAAATATCTACTCTTTATGGAAATTTGCTTCTGGCTTTTTGATAGTAGAAACCAAGAAAAAGAAATAAGCGCACCCAGAAATGAGCTATGAGCTCATAGACCTTCAAAAGAAATTGATCCAGATTACAAAATTGGTCGATTTTATATACAAAAGGCCATAGATTTTCGCTGATAAAATTTATTGTACAGAAGAGAGTTCCTTTAACATCCCCTCCCCAAACAAAAAAACATCACCACCTTTTATTAACTTAGAGGGCCACCACCCAATCAGAAAAGCAAGAGCCCCGTGTCGCATATGATGTAAGCAACAAGAACCAATTTGCATGAAGATTAAAAGCAACCTTTCATCCTTCACTACCCAAGCTACCAAGGCAACAAAGCATAGCAACCTATCGATGGGAGTTGACTAAAAGATGGCTGGACTTAATTTCTCCTAGAAGTACTTGATATTACTAATTGGGCATCAGAAGTCCATGGAAAATCCTAAGTTAGGTCCCAAGCACACATGCTATCAGATACAGCATTAAAATAATTCTGCTGGGGGCTTTCAAGAAGCCATTCAATCGCATCTCAAGACTTGCCCGTCGTATTCTAAAACTCGTTTTGACATACAATCCATTCTCTAACAGGCAGAACTCATCTCACAATCCCATATAAAACAAGAAGAAGAGGCAAAAGGCAGAAAGAGTAGGGTCAGAAAATGAATAAGCTCAGCAGCAACAGAAAAGAACACTTACTGAAGATGAGCAGGCTTGCCACAGTTTGCACATGAAAGGGTAGTCTCAGCGACAGTAGCCATTAAGTCCCAAGATTTATTCACAACGAATTCAATCAGGGAAGGCTAGGGCTGCAGAAGGGTACAAGGGTAGACGAAAATAGGAAAACTTATTTGCAGTTAGACGAATTAATTCCTCTGTTCAAAAGTGGACTAATCCGGTTGAGTGAATAGAGAATAAACCGCTGGTCAGAAAAACAATGGGAGAATAAAACAAGAAGGAGGGGAAGGAAAAAGAAGCTGGAAAAGATAATTATAAAATTAACCCCACACCGGGCATCGTTGGCGCCTGTAGCTCAGTGGATAGAGCGTCTGTTTCCTAAGCAGAAGGTCGTAGGTTCGACCCCTACCTGGCGCGGGATTATGCTGGTGTGAATTTTTCACTTGAAATCAAATTGTGGTTTTGGTGTGAATTTTTGGTCATTGGAAATCAAATTACGATTTTAAAAATAATTTTAAAGTATATAAAGTCAAAAATTGTTTTTGGAGGAATAATTTTTTATAAGCATAAGTATCTTCCTGTTTAAACAAATGTGAATACATCTCTTAATAATTCAAATTTTAATTAGTTTTGTTGTGAGAGACTAATTTTTTTAGTTAGACTCAATTCTCATTAATTAGTTAGAGTAATTATATTTGATTAAATAGTGGATAATTTTCAATGTATTCATTGAATTTGGAATCTGGCCCTTAGCACCCATTAATTTTTTTTTTATACAAAATTATCTTTTTATAGGAGGCCAATATATTTGAAATATTGTCAAATATTAATTGTAATCACTTCTCTTAAAGAGATTCGAACTTTAGTTTATTATGTTATTAAAAATTAGTTTTTTTAACTAAACACAAATTCTGTTTTTGTTTTTTTTCCAGCAAACAAACTCTGTTTGGTAACACCAATTGAATTGTTGAATGATAAAATGTGCGTTTTGCCTTAATCAATGCATTTCATACAAGGCTAACGAGCATGTTTGTTATAGCATTGAAAGCCCAAATTGCACTTCACCCCAAAAAAAGTTGGTTAAAGGGCAAAAAGGAATGTTTGGATTGACAAGAGAGCAAAGTTTTTTTTTTTTTTGTGAGAAAAGCCACATTATGTCAGAAACTCAAGGACTTGTTTTAATCAATGCTAGTAAAATTGACTTTTTAGACCTCATTTAAAAAAAAAAAAAACATGAGAATGTAAATCCATGTCCAAAAAGAGTAATAAAACATCTTTTTTCCGATGAGAAGAGTAACAAAACATCCTTGCACGCTATGTAACATAAGCCCAAGCACATCCCGTACGATAAGTATAATCTTTTTCCCATTAAATCTTTTAATCTTAAGGAGAAGGAAAATTCATTGCATTATTTTATTCAACCGTTTTATAATTCTTTTATGTCTCTATATGGAATTAATAATTAGATGCGGATCAGTTATGTATTATGCCCTTGTCACATTACTAATCCAAGATTCTTACCTTAATCACACAAAAGTACACAAATACACGACACACTAATATTGTTCATTCTAGAGTCACAACTCACAACTTTAGATACATTGCATCTCACACGCACACAGACACACACACACCCCTTAAATTATTAGCTAGGGAAATTCTCCGGCATTGTCTTTAAGTTCCACACACGTCAAACGCCGGCTGAAAAGGGCACACCGGTGGCCGGAATCCACCGACCTCCGCCTAGAAACTCGTTAACAGAGAAAGGCATAACCTCAGAAGTAGAGAGCAGCACGTGAAAGCCAGGCCATTTCACTCTGTTCTGAGTAGAAGCACCGGCACCATTGTTCATATACTCTGCATAATATAGAGTCGATAATGCAAAACCACCATCCCACTCACTCCACCCTTTAGGATCAATACAACCATCCAGATCATTCTTCATGAACACCGTCCTTGAATACTTCTTCCATGGCCTTCCCAGGTAGTTTTTTGCCCCGGCGGAGCCCGAGGCCGGCCTGACTTTACAGTTTTGGATCACAATCCCCGTGGGTTGGTTCGGGTCGTCCCGTCCCTGTGCTGTGATGAAGATGGACTGGTGAGACGCTGGCTGCTGCAGGAGGATGTCGCAGTTCTGGAAGACGACGGAGGCGTCGCCGAATATGAAGTCGACGGTGCCGGAAATTATGGAGTCTCTGTAGAATTGACGATTGGAATGGACGTAGAGTGTGTCTTGGTAGCCTCTGAAGCTGCATCTGTAAAAGACGGAGAGGTCTGAGCTCACCTTCATCGCGACAGCTTGATGATCCTGTGGGCCTGCTCTGTTCTCGATCGTCATGTCCCTTCCCCAGAATCCATCCCCTGATACATCTGCGAATGGTTCAAATCGAGAGATTATCAAATAATTCAATCTGAAATTTTGAAACCTGAAGCTTAAAGATAGAATGAAGGAGGTTGTTGTGGTGTGCTGTGATTTGTTTGGTTACCGAATGTGGCGGAGCCGACGGTGGAGGAACCATGGCGGACACTCCTGGCACCGGTGATGATGGTCTTACCGATGCCGTCTCCGACAAGCATCAAGTTCTTGAGCTTGTATCCGATCTCGACCTTCTCGTTGTAGACTCCTGATTTGACGTGGATAATGACTCTTTCGGGACGATTGTGACCCATTGAACTTACGGCTTCAATGGCGGCTCCGATCGTCGTGTGGCTGCCGGAACCATCCTGAGCCACCGCGAAATGGGCCTTTGACTCTGTCGGATTCCATGACGCCAATAGTCCCCGTATGACTTCGATATGTTTTCCTTTCGTGGTGCTTCTTTTGCACACGGCAAATTAAAAAGAAAAAAGTTAATCTGGTAAAAAATGCCAATAATAATACCAATAAAAGATTAATTATATCCAATAAAGTTAATATTTAAACACTTTAAATAAGTATATAGTTCATTTCTCTTGCAATTATTACATGCGCGCTATTTTTAGTTTAAAATAAATTCATGTGAAATAAAAAGAAAGGAAGAGACAAGAAATTGTTATTTACATTTGAGTGAATTTCACAAAAATGAGGGATTTTATCGTCACTTAATTGAAAGTAGATTTCAGCAATTTTTTTAATTATACACAATGATTTTATTTATAAGTTATTTCCAATATATTTTACCAAAACTAAAGAAAAATCTTAATTTTCATTAACCCTATCCTAAAATTTAACCACTTTTTAATTTTATTCCTATTTAATATATACTACTTTTGATCCTTAATATAAGACTTAACTTGACTTTCAGTTTGATCCTAAATATAAGACCTCAATTCATTCTATCTCTAATATTTATTCATTTTTTTAAGATAGTCCTTATATTAATTGTACATATCAAATGTTTCATCAAATGATTTTTGATTAGCAAAAATATTTTAAAAAAGATAACACTTATTTATTATGAATAACTAACTTAATTAATTAACGACTAGAGGTAGTTCTGTATTTCATAACTGCAAAATCTACATTATAATAAATGAAACAGAAAATTATACATCTATATGAAAAATTTAACAATTAGATGACTTATAAATAGGGAAAAAAAATATAGTATACATATAAAGAAATACAATGATTGAGACGAAGTTTGGAATTATTTAGGGTGGAATTGTTTTGAACTCTTAAAATGTAGGCTACTTTCTTGGGAGAATCTTAAATTTTCCATTTTGTATTTCGTTTAGACGTCCCCACAATCATGTTGTTCCACGCAGAAGAACAATATCAGAATAATATCTCAACCGCTGCAATACGTTAAAATTACAAAAAATATGGAGGGCTCCAAATTCAATCCATAATTTATAAAATTTTAATACTATACTAATGTAAGAACCTCAGGCGAAGATTATTGCATCCATACTCATCGGGTCTTTAAAATAAGACATATTTTATAATATAATTTACACTACAAAATATGTTTAAACATGGGAGAAGTAATTTACAAAGCTTTGTGGATAATATAAGAATTGAGGATATTTTACGTTAGGAGTTGATATGAGTATATCAAATGTTTTTATTTTTAATTTGAATATTTGCAGCAGGCTTCAGACTCAACTTATATTCTGAGATAAAGGGGAAAAAAAAAAGCAAAAGAAAGCAAAAGTGCAAATTCATATTCTTCTTTCTTTTTTTTTTGCCGGAAGCAAATTCATATTCATAACATTGAATAAAATTAAATAAAATATATCTCATAATCATACAAATGAGTGCCTTTAAGACTCTGCTGGAATAAAAGGGATATTAAATGCTTTTTACATATAGTTCATTCATTGACTTCAACATGGGAATTAATGTGCGTATTTCAAATGTATAGCCAACAAATTTTAATTTTTTTTGCCAACAATAAATTTAAATATTAAACTTTTAAGCTGAAAAATTTTAATTTCATTTATCTGTTTGTGTGCGTGTATCTTTTGCTCAAATCATTGGCCAAAAAAAAAAATCTTTGCTCAAATCAATCACAGTCATTTATTTTTCATTATTTATAATTTGTAATTAATCTTTTTTTTTTGGGTTTAAAAGCATGCATTCTCTTCTTTGATATGATCAAATCATCTAGAAGTCATTGATTTTCGATTAATCTGATGGATTATAGGGTCAAGGTCAGTAAAGTTCTTTTAATGAGTATTTAACCACATATAGACTATCGATTTTTCTATAAAAATTTAATGATAACAATTCCGCTTTTAAAAATTTATTGCCATAATTTAACCTTACATAAATATTAAAATTTATATGTCAAAATATAAAAAACTAAGTTCAGATCAATTCAGCTTTTCAAGACTTTATTCCTCATTCATTTCTAAATTATTAAATTATAATATCCTTGGCATTACACTAGCTGGAGCTTCAGAAAAAAGTTAAAGCCAGGCCAGTAAGTAATAAGTTAGCTCATATAATCTTTAATCATCAAGTTTACATGACTTTTAGTTTTAACTTATCAAGTTTTAAATAATAAATTTTGGTGATTTAAGTTTTTATTAAGTTATAAAGACTAATATTTTAAATGAAAAAAATTTGAAAAAACCAAAATAAAGATAAACTTAAAAGATCAAAATTGTATTAACCTAGAGTAAACTTATATGAGCTTTTAAGTTATGATGAAACAAAATTTTTATAAATAAAAATAAAAAACATTATTTATAAGGTTTAATAAAATTATATTATTTTTAAAAATTGAATTGTTATTCAATTCTTTTTTCAATTATGTCAAAATTTGTATTCATGTCATTAAAGTGAAGTGAAAAACAAATTATATTATACATAATGATCTTACGTTTTGTTGATATTACTTAAGTTTCTCTTTCAATTTTTTTAAAATAACGAATATTTTTTTAATATTTCCTATCGAGATTTGTGCATAATTTATTTTTATTTAACAAATTATATTATAGATAATGATCTTATGTTGATAGTACTTAAGTTTCTCTTTCAATTTGTTTTAAATAACAAATATTTTTTTTAATATTTCTTATCGAGATCTGCACATAATTTATTTTTATTTAGTATCTTAATTTTATTTATGATGCATCTCACATCTTCTAATGTTATTTTTCAGTGACATCATATGTTATAATCTTATTTAAAATTTAAGGTGAATGCACTTTACATTAAAAAAAAAATCAGGCACCTTTTTACCTTACATTTTTTAACAAAATTACAACAAAACTTATCTTCTAAAAATTTATATACATTTTGAAAATTATATATATAAATATCTTTCTTTTGACCAATGTCAATCTGAGTTCGATTCGGCCAAACTTCAACTGGATAAAGCTCTCCCCCCCTTTTTTGGGGGGCTCTAAACTCATACGCGTACACATATATTACAATTTAAGAATTGAAAGTAACCTATATATATTAATATTTTAACAAAACAAAAAGTTGATATACTTTTACGCATGCAACAAATTAAACAAACTTCAAAATATGCTAGCCAGTAATTAAGAACAGATCAACATATGTATATTGTTAAAAGAGCGACATTTATTAAAACAAGCTACTTACTTTTTGGTTTTGCTTTTGCTTTGGCTTTGTGCTTGTTCTTAGCAAACAAGTGAAGAGTCTCTCCAAGCAATAAAGTCAAGTTTTTATGCAAACCCTGAGTTCCCACGTCGTACCCTTTCTCTTCCAAACCATCCAAACATGTCCTATGGTTACTCATTACGCCACTCACCCACGTTACTGCATCGTCTTCCCTCTCATAACCATCCTCCTGATCTCCCTCCTTTAATAATGCCAACTGATTCAGCCTCTGCTCACTCTCTTCATACAGCTTAGCACAGTCCCTGAGCGCCACACCCGCCGCCGGTAATAACGCCGCCCTGGATGACAGCATCGGGCTAGCAATGCCGCCGCCACCCTGAGGATGACTCTCAGCCCAAGTCCTGGCTTCAAGAACATGGGTCTGAGCCATCCCAAGCAGCTCCATTTCCCGGCGACAGAAGACGGTGGAGATGGCGGAGGCTGAGAGGAGCACCAGAAGGAGGAGGAGGACGGCGGAGGCGGCAGCCATTTAATGTTTTTCTGAGAAGGAGAGAGTAGTGATGAGGAGTGTAGTGATGGATGACGGTGACTTATAGACAGGCGAGGGAATAAAGAGGCACATGGAAGGGAGAGAGCTATGTGTCATTCAGTGGGAGTGTGTAATCTGTGTCCTACGTGTTTAGATTTGGTAAAACGGTGGAGAAGCAAATGTCATCGTTTGTTTTCTGGTTATTTGGTTAAAAGTCACCTTGTTTTCTTTCTTTCCGCAGGAACATAATCCATAAGTGTGACATACTGTTTGGTTCTTAGATAAAGTGACCAGGTTCGCGCCTCCTTCATATAAATTATGTACAGTGACATCATAGGAAAAAGTTAGTCTGATTAATTGAATACCACGGTTGCAGTCATGGATTTATTATAAGTAAATTATAGGAACATGTTATATTGAAGTGCAATTTAGTGTTTCAGATGGGTATGATCATTACCCAGAAAAAAAGCATTTTCTAATATTTTTTGTTATATTTGTAGCATTTATAACTATTACAGCTGTATGTGTAGAGATAGGGACATGCAAAAACCTGGTAGTTGGTCCAATTCGATGCAACCCGAGATAATCTAGTCTAATTCATCTAGTCCAAATAAACAATATGATAACAATGGACTAGGCTACTCGACGGGTTGGACTAGGTTTGAGACCAAGTCATTAGACCACCTAGACTAGTCTGGTCTAATCCAAATTACTTTTTTCAAAAAAAAATTGTAAATTAAAATGTTATTTTTCATAATTATGTAATATTGTTAGAAATTCTTGTGAATTTCTGATTGAGTATTATTGTCTTGGAATGATTTTTACATGATTATAGATATAGATTTTTTTGTTGTCTTGGTTGTTTTTATTAGTATGAAATTTTGATTCCCACAAAAAAAAAAGTTAAAAAAAAAATCCTAAGCTATCTCGATCAGTCGAGGTAATTCAGTGAATCAAGTCTAGTTCAGCCTGACTTCGGGTTACTATTAAACTAGACTAGACCATGAACTGTCAAACCCAACTCAATTAAAAATCAAACCAGATTTTGAATTAGTCTTGAGCTCTGGTCTAGTCCAGTCCGTGCACTCTTGTATGTAAACGAGCTACGAAATTAGTTATGGGAAGTGATCTAATGACAATTTCCAAAACTTTTGCCCATGCTAGTCAAACCCACTACAACATTAGTAGTAACGTGACAAATTGCTACCGAGCCTGAAACTAGCTTGAAATTTCTAATGTAACATTAGTAGTGGTTAAAAACATGACCACGTGAATTCTCATTTGTAAGTAAGAGTTGGATCCAAACTACTACCAATATTAGCACCCACCCAAAATTTAAATTTTTCATTGTTGCTATGAAAGAACTGGGGTAGACAAAATGAGGAGCTTCACAAAAGAGGAGTGAGAGAATTTGATGAAAGTGGCAAAATGAAGGAATGCGTCCTTTGCATATGCGCTAATATTAATATTGGTTCTAACAGAGCTGCTTCATGTTGCTTTCAGTTGCAAAGTGCGTTGCAGTTTGGGTCATACTGTTTCCCCCACCGCCTAAGACTCTTCTGTTTTTGTCAAATTTAGGGTGTATTTGGATTTCTTCAAAAGCATTTTTTGGCATATCAAAATAAACTTTTTTATATATTTACTTTGTGAATATAGAAAAATCACTTCTAAAATTATGGTTTAGTTTTTATCCAAACACTCTTTTAGTAGTGGTTCTGCTTGAAAATGATATTCATCTTCTTGTTCTTAACGCAAGGCCTAACAATTTTTTAAATAATTATTAATATTAAGTGAGAGAGGAAGGGAGAGAATTAAGAAAAATAATTAGGGTGTCTTAAAAAAAATACACTACCTCCTATCCTTAATATAAGAGCTAGTTTGACATTTAATTTAGTCTAAATATAAGACCTTAATATATTTATATTTATCATTTTTTCATGTAGTTTTACATCATCAAATGGGTATGTTAGGGAAGACAATATTTATTTATTATAAATGATTAACTTAACTAATTTCATTAATCTACTCAAATTAGTTAACTAGTTCTTATATTAATAACTAGAGGTAGTGCTCCTCCGATCCTTAATATAGGACCCAATTCTTGAGTTGGTTTTGATCCTAAATATAAGACCCCTTTTCATATTTATCAATTTTCTTTAAATTACCCCTATGAATACTCCCTCAACCATAATCAAGTAAAAGAGGGAGATGGGGTATTAAGAAAGATGATTATGGTGTTTTAGGAAAAATGAATCACTTTTCTTATAATTAACTAATTTACCTAATTTCCTTAATCTAATCAAATTAGTTAAATGGGTCTTATATTAAAGTCCGGAGGAGTATTAACTAATGCAACTAACATTCTTAATCTAATCAAATGAGTTAATTAGATATTACATTAAGGACTAGGGACCATAGGAATGATAATCATTAGTTCTTAGCATATGTCATCAAGCCATTAGAAGCTATGCCAATAAGAATAATAATTCTTCTCTCATTAGGTCGGATGGGTAGCTTTATTGTGTCATCGTGTTCAATAATAACTAACTACTCACGGATAATTATTAATAAATCCTAGGTACCAAAAAAAATTCCTAGCTAATTGAAAGCTCTATATACAAGAGATGAAAATTATCTGTTGACTGTTCGTCACCGGTGCCTTGCTAATGTTTGAACCATTTCAAATAATTTTTTAATATTTTTTACTTAATAGATATCACATCAACTTTTTTTATACAAGCATAATTTTTGTTTTTAAATTGAGAATGTTGATTTGTTGAGAAAAACATATATCATAATTGTTAAAGCGTAATCTAAATTGAGTTATATTTCTAAACTGACTGGTTGAATAATATTGGATTCTCTTTTCAATTGTTTAAAAGAGGGATTAGAAGAAGAAACAATACGCTATTTAAGAAATAAAAAATAAAAAAACTTTTAGTCCGATTATAACAACAATCAATTTTAAAGGTCAACAAGCAAATCAGTTAGAAAAAAACGATAAAAATAAGAAATTGAAAATATATAAATACTAAATAAGGAATGTCAATAAAAATTTCTTATCATTTGTAAATTCAGTGTTGTAAATACTAAATAAATATTGTTACTAAACCTAATTTAATATTTAATAATTCTCAGTTCTCTTTTTATTCTCCCAATCCGTTATAGCCAAAACCGGTCCAAAAATGTCCTACAATAATCAATTTTAAAAAACCAGTAATTTTCTCCACAAAAATTCCAGACGCTGCATGGGCTATCTGACAAAATCCTGAAGTTTCTAGCATTTACAAAGGCAGTCAAATCCACCTGTCGCTGGTCAAAATGTCCACGTGTCAACCTCCGTCCCGGCTCTTCCCGATCGATCCCTTGGGTATATGTGCACGTATATGTATGCATATCCCTCCCGCCCTATCTTCAATAGAAGGCCGGAGCTATTTCTGGTTCTTTCCTCTTCTCCCTCTGGGTGAGGTAAGATCTTCTCTTCTTGTTATTTCTGAAGTCGTTTTATCTTTCGCAAGCTAATAACCGCAATCTCTCGAGAACTATGACAATTTGAAATTGCGTTTATAGCATTATTAGACTTCGTTCTATCGTCCGAACTTCGTGGGAATATCTTCGGCAAATTTATCTCGCTGGCTTCTAAATTTCCGGCGTTCAATTTTCAATGAATCACGAGCATTTCTTTTGTCGTCCTGCCTTGAATTCTACTTCATGTGTTATTAAATCGTCGGGGTCCTAAATTGATGTAACTGGATTGGACGCGATCAACTCGGTGTTCCGTGTTAATGGTCTTTCTATGGTTGTCTGGAATCTGCGAAGGCATATAGATGACCTTTTCTGATGCAAAACATGTGTGAATATGCTTTTCTTACCGTGGATTTTTGTTTTCCTCTGTGAAAACTCCAGACCAAAAATATGCAAAGGAGAAGAGAAAGTGGTGAGAAAATGTCTGAATCAAGGAATTCCTTTAACGGCTTTGGAGATATTGGTGGCTTTGGATCACATAGATCAATGCTGTCGAACCTTTTTGGAGGAAGGGATCCATTTGATGATCCTTTTTTCACTCGTCCCTTTGATAGCATATTTGGTCCAACTTCTTCTGCACCGAGAACTATGCAGAACATGAACGAAGATAAGGGAGTCATTATAAGAGAATTAGATTCTGATGATGAGGGAGACCTTAATGGAGATGGGGAGAGAAAGTATTCTAGATCAACCATGGAACCATCTGTTGAGCATCCAGATGATGATGTTGATGGTGAATTACTTTCTCTGTTTTTATTTTTGTCACCAAGGATTTTGTCATAGCTTATTTCTTTTGCTTTATTTATTGTATACTGTACTGTTTGATGTCTAGAAGAGAGGAAGCTCAAGCAGGTGACTCACAGGAATGACCATAACAGGGTAGAACCCCCAAAGACTGGCAATTTCTCGTATCAAACTAGCAAAGTTACGTACGGAGGTGTAGATGGAGCATACTATACATCTACGAGAACCAGAAAAACAGGAGCTGATGGGGTATGTAACCTCTGTTAACTTTTGTCAACTTGTTTGGCTTGTTTCTAGGTTTGTCTATTTTACCAGATAGTTTAAGCTACTAACTTCTTAGGATTGGCAAAATCTTATATTGTCTTTATTATGTTTTCTTTTTGATATTTTTAGATGAGACTTTCGTCAAGTCTTATTATTTCTAGCTATGTAATTTTCTCTCTTGTTATAAATAACAAGACTTATCTTTGTCTTTGGTGTTATCTTTTCGAGTCAGGTTGTTCTGGAGGAAAGCAAAGAAGCTGACAAGACAACAGGTCAGGCAACACATAGGATTTCCAGAGGAATCCATGATAAGGTACTTATTTATGATTTTAGAGTGTACACTTCTAGTAAGTTTCGGCATAAATGTTATATTCATTTCTTAAAAAGTTCGATAAAACATTATGCGTGACATGAGCTTGAAGGAAAGCCTGAGAATCTGTGCCCAACCCTCCCCCCCCCCCCCAAAAAAAAAAAACCCTAACAGTAAATTTTGTTATTATTTGTAGATATTAAACTTGTGGACTATGTTTGTAGGGTCATTCATTCACAAGGAGGCTAAATTCAGATGGCAAGATTGACAGTATGCAGACTTTGCACAATCTTAATGAAGGCAAGACGGTGTCCATGATTTTCTTCAAAATTGTAGTGATTTCTTTTTTTAAATCTTAATAATGGAACGACTGTGTTCCGTGCCTTTTGATATTTCAGATGAGCTTTCAGGCTTTGAGGAAAGATGGAAAGGTAACAATACTGGGCATTTTCCTGGCTGGAAAGATGGACATGGTACGCAGTGGAATGACAGTAAGCTTCCTTTCTTGTCTTCCTTTGAGACGGTGAATGTATGTTTCCTGTTAAACACGCTGAAATGAAATTTAGTGATGTTTGAGGATAATGTTAAAGATTGAAGATTCTATTTTCTCAGTTTGCCATCAACAACTGCTTATGTGAATGTTGGAATGCATTAGTTGAATCTATGCTAACATTTAAATTTCTGGTTTGGAGGGGGGAAAAAAAAATCAGTAGTAAAGGTTGCAGAAAGAAAATGGATACCCTGTGAACATCTGGGAAGCAAGTAGCAATTATAATGATTTTGTCATTAGACGAAAGATCTCATCATTCAGCAGTCTTCTGGGAATTATATTCAGTTACTGTTTCCTGGAAAAATAATACCATTCTTGATGATGATATAGGTTCTGGCCATGGGCCTACAGAAAACCGTATGTGGAGAAATTGGTCATGCCCATCGTTGGAGCAAGGAGGAAGCTCCAGAGGATTCGTGTCCCGCAATGAAACGAGCACCGGTGGTAGAACAAAGAGAGTCGTTAGAATCAACATAGAGTAATACAGCAATCTTGGTAGAATCTGGTCCTTTGTATTTTTGCTTCCTTAATTTGCAGAAGCATTAAGAGCTTGATTCGTGTGCTTATGATTCTGTCGTCACATCAGTGACACTGATAGGTTATGCCCAATACCGATGTGTACGTATTATACAGACATTTTGTGCCATTTGAATACTCAAAAGAGCAGTTTGAGGAGTTTGATTTGGTCTTAATCCTATGGATTATAGAACATCATGGTTGTCGAAAACCCAAAGTGTGTTGCCAAACTCGAGTTAACCAAGTTTTCACATCAACGGATGTAAGCTTGACCATTCTCTAAACTCGATAAAATACGTGTTTTTGGGTCGAAAAAAAGAAGATAAAATACATGTTTAATAGGTGATGGATGGGGATCAGTTTATCTTTAAGGAAATTGGACACTACTATCCCCCTCGTATCCTTGTAATTTTTTGGGTTAATACTATTTTTAATACTACTTATTTTGATTTTGATCACAAATTTAAAGGAGAAAATTCATTAAAAAGGTATTGAAATAATTCAAAATTTTTGTTTGGCTCATGAGATTTGTCAAATTCTTATTTAGGTCCCATGACTCAAAGGAGGATTCTAAAATTTTATGAAATAGATCTAATGCACTTTTCATTAGAAACTTGGAAAGATTGATTTTCTATTATTCTTACATTGCATAAGAGAAAAATTGATCAAGAAGGTTAACAGCGAGTGAGTTTTTATATTAAATTTTCCTTCTTTAATCTTGATAGTTTCATCATGACAGAAAAATTATAATTTAGAATTGAAAATGTGTTAATTTTTAAGATTGTATTGTGATAAAATTTTATTTAAAAACTTATTACAAGGGTGTTATGATTTAACTATAAAATGGAATATATTAATTTTAAGATTATATTGTGATAAAATTTTATTTAAAGATCTATTGTGAGTGGAGACAAAAAATTATGAATTTAGAATTTTAAATTGAAATATGTTAACTGTCAAAGTTGTATTATCATGAAGTTTTATTCAAATACTTATTATAATAATGTTCTGGAGACATAAAATTATTAGTTTAGAATTAAAACTTGTTAACTGCGTAATTAAATTTATTTATTTTAAAATACTTGGGCAAGTATATTGTGGAGATAGAAAATTATTAATGCAGAATTGTAACGTCTTAAAATATGTTAATTTAGAATTTTTCTCTTTTGATTTCGAATAATAGTAGTAATTAGAGTTATTTCATAAAATTTTAAAATCTTTTTTTGGATCACGTGACCAGATTAGAAATTTAACAAATTTAATGATCTAATTAAAAATTTGGGTTACCAAGTGCTTTTTGAACGATTTTTCTAATTTAAAATCAGTGGTTTTAGACCATCGAATTTTCTTTGGAGTTTCTTGGAGCCTCAAATCAAGTTAAATTTCAAGAATAAAAGATAAGTATTAATTCTAGTTTTTGCTAGAAAACATCTTCTAGAATAAATAGCTATGGAGTACAGCTATGGAGCACTAATTTTAAGATTGTCTCAATTAATCTGACTAATTTTTTTGGGCCTGGAATTAATCTGACTTAGAAGCGTTTTTTTTAAAATCAAAATAACAGGGAACCCACGCGGGGGAAAGAAAACATGGTTACGCGGCCATGACCTGCGCATGTGTTAAAAAGAACTGCTTCTAATCTTGCATTTAATGACGATTTTTCTTGTCTTGTCTTTGAAATTTTCTGAGGCACCAAATGAGGGACAAATTTAGTAAAATATATCTTGTTTTTACATATGTATTGCATTTATTAATCTATGTGTAATAATTTAAAGGATAAATATAATGAAATGGAGACTGCATAGTGTCAACAAATTTTCTGAGAATTTAACCATGTTTAAACCCAAGTTGTTAGTTGTCACTATCCGTTTTATTAAGTGCATCCACACTTGGGCAATAACTCCCTGCTTGGATGGGCCAAAAAGTTTGAAGAAAAGAAAATGAGAAGAAAGAAAATGAAAAGAAGGGAAAACTAGGATGGAAACATTAGTGAATGAGAGAAAATTGAGAGGCAAAAAAATGAGTAAATGTTTGATTAAAATGCCCTTATTATGAACAATTGGCAAAGAAACTAAATAATTTAGCAAAAAAAATTGTTGATCTAGGTAAAAAAAAAAATTAAGGGCATATTTTTAAAATAAAATAAAATATACATTATCCAATATTTAAGTAAAATGATAAAAATTGAATAAAATGAAAGATTATAATAACCTGAGAAATTGATATTAGGAAAATATCACTAATAATATCATTAAAATTAATCTTGATACTTATAAATTAAAATGTCTTACACCATGACCATGGAGGGCAGTAATGGTAATGATTTTTTTGTGTGAAAGTCTCTCTCCTTGTGGGAGTAACATCTTTTCCACCCCATTTTTTCCTTTTCCTTTCTCCTCTATTTTCTTTTCCATCTAAGCAAGGAAAACTCCTTTCCTCTCCCAGCTTTCACCCTACCTTTTTTTTTTTCTCTCTCTCTCTCCCATTCTCAATTCAAGCACACCATAAATTGAAGAGGAGGGAATTTTCTTTTAAAATAAATGTGTAAAATTTGAGTACCTGATATTAATTTATTTTGTTATATATAACGTCGTATTTGATGCTTTGCGATATGTTTTCTAAAATAATTTGAGGTTGTTTTGTTGGGTGTGATTTACATATTACTTCTGTTGTTTTTATTTTTTATTATACTTCTTTGATTGACGAAAGTTTAATTATTAAATAAGCCAGAGCATGTTCCTATGCCCAAAAAACGCTTATAAATATAAAGCTATTTATACATAAAGCATCCTCAAAAAGTACTTAGCAATGGCAATGGTATTATATATTATGTCTGTATTGAAATTAATAACTTGACAAAATTATATGAGAAGTTCTCTTAAATTCTGTCGGCGAAAATAATTTCCTTGATTTAACTTCTCATTGTGTGGAGATATTTTCATTTCCATTAATTATGAATTTCAATTATGGATGCTACTTTTGTTTTATAAGAAAATAGGGAAATTTTCAAAAAAGGCGCTCCATAATATTTTCTTTTAAAATCAGGATGAAAGAAACATGAAATTATAGTTTGCTAGATTTGTGATCACAGTGGTCCTACACGCTGGACCGAATTTGAAATGATTTTTCACACTCTCGGGTGTTCTTAGCCAACAAGAGTTGCCTATCCCAGATCCACAAAATTATAAATTTAAATCCTGCTACGGATGTGAAAGTTTTGTTAGTGAACGATTTGTGATATTTCTATGAATACTTTTTAAACCTAAAAATATATCATGACCCTAATGAGTTTTACTTTATTTATACAAAAGATAGAAAATTCTCTCACTTCTTTATTGCTCAACAGAAAATTACTTTGAGAAAAGTAAATAAATTATTCAGTTCCAACAAAATCGGTATATAATCTCTTTCAGATACCCTTATTACTATTAAATTATATATTAGTTTATAAGTTAAATAAATTAAGTTTGAAAAATTAATAAATATAAAAAATAAAATGAATTAAAATATTACTCATTCAATCATAAATATAAGGCTTTTATACTGATATATATAAGAGTCTTATATTTATGACCGGAAAAACACATTCTAAATCTAACCCACTACCTACCCAGAGGATACATTAGTTAGCATTATGTTTTGTCCTTGTGAATACAGAAATGAGAAATGGTAATTCACAATGATTGCCCTGTTCACCCCAGTTTCGTTGACCAAACACAGAAGTAAAGCCAAAATATTAAAATCACTTCGAACCCCTATAAATTCATTTATAAATTATAAACATTTTGCATCTATATTATACATATATATATATATATATATAGATACATACTCTAATTTAACCTTCTATACCCATTTTGATATATACCTGTGTCTTGTCCTTGTTGGCAATCAATTTTCATCGTCTTGCCCGTTATTCTTTTCATTGTTTTTAATGACACCGTTTAAACTATACGAATCTAACTCCAAAGAGGTGTGACCAGTGGGGACTGAAATATTATTTTCCCCAAAAAATTAACATCACCGCCAACAATATTTTGATCGACATAAATTCAGTAATAAAATATACTTCATTTTGCACACAAGAGAATCAACCCCCACTCACTGGACATTAATCAATCACTCAATAATCTCCTGTTGATAATTGATGCTTTCCACTAGTCATCTCATTGTTAGAACTAGCTGGGAAACAAGGAGGGGGAAAAAACACAAACATGGGCACCCGTCTCAAGTTACACAACAATCACTGACATGTGAAATGGATATTTGTACAATAAGGAACTCAAACCACAACTGTGCAAAGCATAGATCAAATATCAAAGTGATCAATCAATTCAGGCAACATCAGTATGTGACCAGATGAAAAGAAAAGGGGAAAAAAATTGAATTGCATTTCTTATCATACACTCCCTGATCCTGCATAGCCTCATAAAAGCATCAATAATCCCAATCAGGACAAGGGTGAGACACAGTTCAGCAAGTGTGAGATGTTAGGCTATTTCAATAAAAAATGTAACACATGATGGACTTTCATCCATCTTACTTCTTTGAACTATATCTTCCTCGTGTTATAGATTTATTGAAAAGCTTAACATCAAACACTTACCAAACTGCATATAAGATCTCCCCTAAGCTTAAACTCTCATCTCTCTAAACACCAGGAGGGCTCCTCTGAAAGTTTAGCCATACCAAGTGCCACAGGGGAATGATTTGCAAGGGAGCTCAGATTAGTCACTTGCTTAGGATTCAGTTAGAGGCCGAAAGTAAGATGGATACCCGGAGACTCCTCGTATGTTGTATTATTTTACAAGGAAATTACAGGTTTTCCTGATGTTCCATCAGTAGCTGTCAGTATTCTTGGGAATCAAAGTCGGGTTTGGATGGATACTCAAGACCTTGAAGCACTGGCATCCTTCTTTTATCTTCTTCAGAGTAAGCAGGTATAAGCCAGTATTGCTTGTCCATCCCAAAGACCTGTAACAAATTCAATAACAAGTAATGAAATCAGCAAGTCCCAACAATTTTACACATGGTAGCATTTAGTGCCACAGAGAACCACTAGGAATATGCTATGTGCGGATAATATAAATCCCAGGTCATAGCAGTTGCACTGACAACGTTTCCCTGTTCCCGTAAATCAACAAGAGCAGATGCATCCTAACTACGGATGTAGGGTATGAGAAAACAAATATGTCAGGCATATGAAGCACCAATACTTCCAACTGATATTTTGTCATGTTCTTGTGTCTGCATAGTTTCGCGTCCTTGTTCATTCCAATATCCATGCTTCTTATATTGAGCCAATGACTTCATAGCTGCATGTCTTTTTTTTTTTTTTTTTTTGAATCGATCACTGAAGCATATTATTATGAAAAAACTATTCACAAGGACCAAATTCAGAATCTGTTCCTAAGGACCTCAAGTGATAAATGAACAGATACTCGTAGATTTTTGTAGTCTGAGTATTAAATACTTGAATTTGGTTCTTAGGAATAAATAGTTTCGAAATTTGGTTCTTGTGAATATTTTTTTCCTTCTTATGTCTAACCATAACCGTTGACTGAGACAAATAGGTCAAGAGAATAATGTAGTTCTGCTTAATGTTATGAACTTGGACCTCTTTCTTCCTCCTCCTCCTCCTGCATGTCTGTTCTTTTATCTTGTTTACTTTCCAGACTAGTTAACAGATTTGGTGGTAGATGGTAACATTAGGTGATATGAGACTAAGGGGCAGACATGATGTCAACACAACTAATGGAACAAAATTACATTATTGACATTGAGCTAACATACAAAACTAAGTAAAATGCTGATTGCCTGCATTAGTGTAACCAAAAGAAATGCCCTCTGGCCATGCAGCATTTTCCTTTTCCAGCATGTGGTTAGAGTTTATAAAATGCTTGACGATGGGCTAAATATCCAGGTTAAACATCCAAGCTTGTCAAATGATGGGAGGATTGTTACAACTCCGTCAGTCCAATTAGCCAAATTTCAGGTGGATGATACACGCAGTTTGTCCGATAAACCATTTGTAGACTGAAGCAATGCATAAATAATAGCTATTGGCCAAACCTCCAAACTTAATGCAGTTTGCAATCACTTTATTTAAGAAAATAGATATAAAGGTTAATGACTCCAAAAAAAACATGATTATGAGGCCAACCCTACACAATTTATAAATTTAAATCAGTTCCAATTTATATGTCAAGACAACCAGATCTGAAAAAATTATTTTCAATAACTTCAATGCTAGAACAGAAGAAAACCTCAAACAGAAGATCTATATTCCACAGTCTCTCAAAAATAATGTGCCCAAGTGAAATTGACATTAATTTTTAGATCGTGAGCCGTCAGTGCTAATGTGTTCTTCATTGTGTTGAGGCCATTTTATAAGAAGATTGACAATCTGTTTGAATGGAGAGAAAAGTTGAAAAGAAAGAAAATAGAAAGAAGAGAAAAGTGGAGCAACAATGTTATCACTCATTGTGATTGGATGAAGAGGATAAAATATAGAGGAAAGAAAGAAGACAAATGTCACAATGACGATAATACCCATATGTGAGGATATATTATGTCATGTCATTATTCATCAAAATAAATCGAAGGGAAAAATCATATTAAAATTAACGCCATTTAAAACCAAGTTATTTGACAAAGAAATGTTTTTAACCTCTTCTATTTCAAAATCAAATAATTTGACAAAAATATATTTTTCTACTTTTCTATTTAAAAATCAAAATGAATAATTTTGTAAAGTAGAATACAATAATTTGAAGAATTCCTTCATTCCTCTTCTTCTCTTTCTTCTGCTGCTTCTATTTGTAAATTCCTCTCTCTATCTCTCTCTCTCTAAACACAACTTTTTATTACACTTTCTCTTTTGGAATTTCAACACTACTCATTCTTAGCTTCCTTTTTATATCACGAGATCCCCATCCCTTTCTCTGTTTCTCCTCCTTCTCATGTCTTCTTCAAAGCTCGCAGTTTTACGTTTCTCTGTTCTCACTTCTAGTGGGATACTTTCTTGTAGTTCCATTATCAAGCTCTTGTGAAACACAGAGACAGACACAGAGAGAGAGAGAGAGAGAGAGAAAGAGAGAGAGGACTGAGACCTCCCCTTCATGGTAGATTCGCAGGAAAATGTGGAATTCTGTGGAAGACAAACAAGGAATGCAAAGTCAAGGGCACTGTTGAAGAGAAAGGAGGAAGAGAGGTGACTGGGTATGCAGGAAGGATGGTCAAGACTCGAGGCAGAGCGCAAGGGCAACATGGGAATAAACATTTCCCTCAAGGAGATTTTATCTTTCTTTTTTTTTGGGGGGGGGGGGAGCAGGTCCCGCCTATTATTTTTCTCCCCATTTTCCCTCCTTATCTAAACAAAGGGAAAGTTGTTTTTCTTTCCTAGTATTCTTTCCTCTCAACTTTTCCTTCCATCTAATAAACAAGCAATGAAAGCAGTAGGCATGTTAACAGCTAAGAAGAAAAATAGATATTAAAGATCTTAATACAGTAACATACACACCTGTTCAAAATTTTTTCTACGACCAAGGTCATAACGCCATTTTGGAGTTGTTTTCTTCTCATATGCCTGGTAAAAAGCAAAGAAAATCCCAACAAAATCAAAGTCACAAACACTATCCAAGCCATTCCAACTTCAAGGAGGAGCAAAAAGAAGTAAATCACATTTTTAATGTTGAAAGATTTTCAACAAAGGAAAAATCGCATAATCATTTGAAGTTTTAGATTTCCATTTGACGCATCATAATACAATTATCAAGTGAAATGAACCTAAAAGGTGTGATCAACTAAACCCAATTTGTTTTAGTTTCTCTTGATAACCATAGCTCAAACTGCCATAAATATAACGGTTACTCATAGAGAAAGACAATGTAAGCTTGAAGCGTTTCCAACCATGGAAAACAAAGAAAGTCGAAAGAAAACAGATCAAATTCAGAACTTTGTTTTTGATAGATAAAGGACAAAAGAAATAAATGCAAAAAATACATATATATTACCTCAATAGTCGTTGTATTAGCAGACACCAAAGACACGTGCATAATAAGAAATCCAAAAACGCTCAATGCAAATGCCAGGTTCAAAACTGTACGTAATTCAACAACGTTACAGAAATTCACAGTAGAAACTAACGATTGAATCAAGCAGTGGTTCAAAACCTCACCAAAAGCAAGAAAAGTTGTTGCGAGTGTGCTAGGTGTCCCGGGAATTTCTCCATCACTAAAGAATGCAATGAAGTTTGGCAACAATGATACTGTCACAAGAGTTGTCTCAAGAAATGTGTAGAACTGCACAAAGATCAAATAGAATAAAGTCACCACTGAAACGATTTTTCTGTAGGCAGCAACAAATAAAGGAAACAAATACACAACCATTACATACAAAACAACAAAGTAAAACATGCAGGCTCATTAAATTTCATTCACAATTTTTTATACGTATTTGGATACTGGTCACACCTTATGATACTCAATAACATTATCCGTATCAACATTTATCTAAATAGTTCTTTCGCAACCTAGACAGAAAAAAAGAAAAGAAGAAGAAGAAGAAGAAGCAGCAGTTTTTCATTCAAAGTCTTGAGGTTATAGGAGGCATATCCCTTTTTGCACATAAGAAAGAAGTGACAACAATATCCCTCCTAGGATAAGATGGAAACCATAAAAGATTGTGATCTACAGACTAGGAAATGGAAAGTATAAAACTGCAACTTATGGTCTCCCACAAAATCTAGTGCATAACTACCTAAGCCATAACGCTAGCAAATCAGTTAAGTCTATTCCAAGTTACCCACTCCTTATTGTCACAAATAATGAAATAAATTTCATTTTCTATGTAAGAACCAGAACTATTATGATAAAGGTGTCATGTACATAACAGCAACGAGTGTTTTACTTGAAAGCGGAAATCGCATGATTAATGCCTCAGTCTTACAAAAAGTTGAAGACACAATATGATCAATGCAGGTATGAAATCATAGCTACTCATCTGAATTGACACAAAATACAAAATCTATTAGGGTTCCCATACCAGGAACAGAAGAAAATACTTGTAGTTTAGAGCACCAACACAGTTAACTACCCAAACACAGTGGTGATCCATCTTCAGCACGCATCGTCCGCCTAGCACCAAACCAATAGATATCAAAGTTATCTCACCTATTCTCAGTACAGAACAAACTGTAAAAGTTTACAGCAAGACTCACAAACTGAACAATGATGACATCGAGGTGGTTTAAGTTGATTGCACTTCCTGCAGAACCGGATTCGTTGACTTGAAGGATCTGACGGCACATTACTAAATTCTGATCCGTTTAATGGGTCAGCTTCTCCTCTCTCCTCATCAATAGCAGGCCTCCAATTAGGAGGCACACATCCGGGATCCGTAAGGACAGTAGCAAAGTAACTCCACAATAGCATAACCAACTGCAGCAATTGAATTTCAACCAATAATATCATTTCATTATACGCTCACAAAGAACATGCTCTATTAGTCTTCGAACTAAAAGATTTCAATCATGACCTTAAATGAAAATCCTCTACTCAGCAAAACTCATTCCTTAAAAATTCTGTCCTAACACCCAAAAAATCTAGTTTTCAAATTTTTCAAGTGTATTACGAAGACCATACATTCAAACCCCTTGACCTTTGTCAAAGGATCATAACCTTAGTTCCCAAACATTTACTATTTTGGACAAGCCGAATTTCAACAATTGGCTAACGCCTTCAGAGAATCTGAATGCACTTCATAATTTCCCAAACAAGAAAAGAAATTTAACACCTAACAAACAAAATCCTGAAATAACCTCATAATCCCCAGCGCGAAAATAGTCAGCACTGAAAACTTACCAAACAATGAAACAAGATCAACACCGCCATGGCAATGACAGAATCAGGCCACCCAGCGGACAGAGCAGGGCCATAAGTAGTAAAAACGACAGCATAATAACTGACCCCCACAACACCAAGAACCAAGAGGATCATGATCGAGCCAAGCCCTCGCAAAGCAGTGCAGAACTTGAAAACGTTCCAAGCCATCGTAGCTCCAGATCTATGCATAATCACGAATAAGAAAACCCTGATTTTATTTTAACTAAAAAAATCCCAGACTTTTGCTATTCACTCCGAAGCAGGACACGAGCACAGTTTTAAGCAAATCATTGACGATTCGCTCGAAAGCAACAGATCAAAGTAGGCACTGCTTCAGATGAAGGAAGAACGAAGCGAAGGGAACGATTTACCGTAACAAAACCTGTTTCTTTCGTGGTGGGATTCTGGGATTACCGACAAATCGACAATGGCCTTCGTAAATCTAGGGTTAAAAAGATATTTAAAGTTTTATACAGAAAGGAATTCGAGTCTAAAGAAAACCACCACTGGTTTGGTAGGAGGATGCAACTTTATTCTCTTTTTGCTAGGGAATTATTATGAGATTGGTATCGTAGGAAATTATCATCAATCATGAATTGCTTGATCATTCTGAGAGGTTTGCCCAATTTTATATCTATAATTATCTGCTCTCTTTGACGTAAAAACTTATTTGATTTTTATTTTAATTTTAAATATAAAATTTTAATTTATTTTATTTTTTATATTTATATATTTTTTAAGTAGTCTTTTTAATTTAATTAGCAAAAATATTTTAATAAAAACAACTTAATTTGTTTTTTTAATTTATTCAAATTAATTAGTCGGTAATATTTAGCAATACCCATACAATTACCTACGTACATTGCATCCGTACAATTCACTTTAGAATTTGTGTGCGTATAAATCCGTATAAATCTGTACTGTCTGTTTTTGTTTAATGTAATAAAATATTAAGTATGTAAATTTTTTTTGCCAGCATTAAGTATATAAATTTAAAAACTTAATAAGTTTTTACCAACATTATTTGATGTAACAACTTAGGAAAAATTACCTAAGTGGACAAAGTATCAATTTTAATTTTCAATAAATCATATTTTGCAAATTTTTCTTGCCAGATATATATTTATAAATTTTGTGCAATACGTAAAAATATACTCCATCTTTAATATATAGTATACTTTAATAGGATGCATACTAGGAATTCTGATCCCATTAAATTTAATTAAAACAGAATATATTGAAATTATTAGCACATTAATACCTTGCATTTCATAAAACATACTTATTTATAGGCAAATAGAGAAACTTTTCATATAAATGTACTCCCTTCGATCCTATTTATAAACTTCAAATTTAAGAAAGGGTGTCGTTCATTTTATAACCTTCAATTTGAGTTTATCTTAACATTTAATGTAGATTTTCTAATATTGCCTTTAATTATTTTTCTCTTATTATATTTTTCCACACATTCTTTTTCTTCTTTTTTCTCATTTATTATAAGGATATAAATAAAAAATATATTTCTAACTTATCTATTATTTTTAAATAATTTTAAATAATTATTCCCTTATATCTAAGTTAGTTATTTGAAGTTTATAATAAAGATCGAAGGGAGCATAATTTTACCCTTTATTTATTATTATATTGATTTTGTTTTTGTATAATATAATATATAGTAAATAAAAATAAAGTTAAAAAGTTATTGAATTTTAATGCAAAATTAACGAAGTTTAAAGTTTTTCTTTTTATTTTTGTAAAACATATTGAAAGTGACTTATAAATAGAAATATATATGTATATCACCTTTACTACTTAATATAAAAATTAGTTTAGGATTATATTTGATTTTAAATATAAAACATCAATTTATTTTGTCTCCTAATTTTATCTTTTTTCTCAAAATATCCCAATTGGTCATAGAAGCTCCTAATGAGGGGACATAATTAAATTGGGTAGTTTAGAAAAACTAACACCCATTTGTCACCTGATTTAATTAATTTTTCATATCTCTACTAATTACCAAATACTACCTTTGAACCTTAATATAAAAATTAGTTAGAGATTTTATTTGGTTTTAAATATAAAATTATAATTTATTTTGTCTTTAATATTTATCTATTTTGCTTTCAAACAATCCTCATAGTAATTACATCTGTTAAAGAGTTTTCATTAAAAAAAAAACTCTAATTTCAATGCAAATAATTGATAGGGTAGCTTAGAAACGACAATATTAATTTATTATAATAATTAATTTAATTAATTTTTTTAATATCTATCAGTTAATTATCTGATTTTTATAAAGAAGGGAGGTAGTATAAGGTTAGCCGAAAATAACATAAGATAATCTAAATGTTGCTCTAACTTGGTCAAGAATCTAGAAGGTATACGGGTACCAAGACCATCCCATATTTAAATTATATCGAAGATTGTGACTTTATTCATCTAATTCTAATTTACATTAATTTGGATATGACTTGTTGCCAGGGTTGGAGAAAATACACATGGAGATGACGTCACTGATGATTACTTATGCTTGCTGCCCACGACAAGGAATCTTCCGTGTGTGTATATGTATATATGTATGTATATATATGGGTGTATGTATATTTAAGACTAGAATACAATTTTGTCGTTAATTTGTTGTGAATTCCGCTATTAAAATTAGTGACGAAATCCTTGACCAATAGCTCTCTTCCCATTTGAAGGGGTTTTGATTTTGTAAGGAGCCAAGAAAGGGAAAAAAATGAAAACTTGGATGGAAAAACAATTGTGGGAAAGGCAAAAAAATTTCAATGGAATCTAAGGTCAACAAGGTCTGTATTAGCTTGAAGGGTTTAAAACTTTAAATTTAAACTTTATACGCTGCTGATTTCTTTTAAAATTTAAATTTGGCTTTGAACATGAGAGTGGAAAAAATAGCCTATGACTTGATTTGCATTTGGCATGGTTTTTTTTTCATGCTTGTTTAAAGGCATATTTAGTTTGATAAGCCAAATCTAGACTATTTGAAAAACCTATTAAGCTTGTTAAGCTAGCTTGGACCTGTAATAAATTTAAAGTTGTAATATTATAAAAGAAATTAGTTAATGTTATTATTTTAATGTGCTCTTTTGATCTTTTTTCTTGTATATACATAGTTAATGATTCCTTAAATTTTGAAATTCAAGTGAAAATAAGAATATAGTTTAAAATAATAATGTCAATAAATAATGTGATCTTTAAATTCTAAAAATATAGATAAAATAGCAACCAAAAATTTTGTATTAAAAAGATAGTTAAAATGAAGGGGAATAAGTGATAAATTAATTAACTTATGTATTATTTTAATCAAATTATGATACCTACTATGTTTATTGTAAAATTAATAATTTTTCTCCCTATTTATTTGCCTTAATTTTACTTTGACATAGTCTTGTTCCAAATCTTAACATATAATTATAACTAGTTTTTAATAATATCCTTATTAAGATTTAAAATAGTATCAATGACATTAAAATTTAAATAAAATATAAGATTACAAAATAATTATTATGTAGTATATATTTTTTGTTTGTGTGTATTTTTTATTATGTAATTTAAAAATTTTAAAAACACAAGCTTTTAAACAGGCTTTAAGCTAGGTTAAGCTTTTGTATAGAACAAGCTTAAGCTGAAAGATAAATCTATAACAAGCCACATGTTAAACTCAAATCAATTTATTATAAAATAAACCTGACCTATTAAGAGTAAGACTCAGTCTGATCTCACCTTTCTTGTTTCCGCCATAAGGACATGCCGTGAAAGTTTCAACGTGGAATTTTATTTTAGCATCAATGCAACTGAATCTTATGCGCCTCTCAATTAGAAGAAAATAAATTCCATGATGTGCAGATATTTTTGTGAATAGTTTATATTTTCTTATTTTAATTAACTTTTAATACTTTTTTATATGACTATTTAATTAGGTCAAATTCAATTATTGTCGGTCCAAATTAAGGATCAGCCTTTTAAAAACATTTGCGAATTCGATACTTCAAAAGGATAAATTCTATTTCATTCATATTAACACTTATTGATAATGAGATTTTTACATTAAATGATGCAAAATGGAAAATCATATAATTCCACAATTATAAGTATAACAAATATTTCAACTTGAAATATAAAAATAAAATAAATGAGTTTTGAACTGTTCAAATATCACTTGGATAATTAAGAGAAAATGCACACAATTATAAAATAAAATAAACAATAAAAACCCTGTTCATACCAAATTTTTAGTAATGGGATCGAGGATGCATGTGACAATTTTTGAATTATAAACTATATTGAAAATGCTATGAATATAATAATATCTTCGTGGATATCTATATATCTCGCATTATCTCCCATGTCTCTTATAATCTCTAATATCCCTTATTATCTCTATATCCCACAATTATCTTCTATTATTATGTAATCTGTAGATTTTATCAAAAGTGTAAAGATGTGCCTATAAATAGAAGCCATATATAATGTATTGAACACTTTTGAATTGAATGAGAAATACTCTCTCTTGTTGATCCTCCCTTCCTTTGTATAATTCTTTTCTATATTTCTTCTTTATTTATAACAGAAATATTTATTTTCATTTTTGTTGATAATGTGCACATTTAGATTATTAATACCACATATATTACACCAAAATAGCAAGCATGATGCATCTTATTTTGTGTAAGAAAATTTTTATTTCTTTCCTTGTAGTCACCAATTGTCTCCTGGGCCCTCAATTGTTCTGTTAATAGAAAGTGGGAGAGAAGCAGCACAAATAAAAATAATAATAAGGTGATGATAATATTTTTAATTTATATTTTATGTATGATTTTATTATATCTTTATAATTTCTATTTAAAAATTATTTTTTATTTTCTGAAAAATAAATATACGATGGTCATTTTGGGACATAGAAGATGGAGAATTAATTATCTTCTTTGTGAAGGGGAAGCCTATGTCTGGATGTGCCTCGATTTTCTTCTGTTCGTATATTTAAGCCAAATTGACTTTTGTAATATGACAATTACATATTTATATTATTTGAGAATGAAAGATAAACAAAGGGCAGTAACTGAGTCAAGGATGACAATTACAACATGATAGCTGAAATAGGAACTAGACTTGGGATTAGATTAAAAAGGTGTTTGGTAACTCTAAAAAATGCTTTTAAAAAGCACTTTTCTGCAAAACGAAATAAATTCTTCCACATATTTATTTCATAAACTGTAAAAATACTTTTGAAACTATGATTTGGTTTCTATTCAGACAGTCCTTAGTGAGACAAATAGCTTAAATAGGTTTTTTGACAAAACAAACAAGGGTTAAATAGGTTATTAAAAATTACCTCCTAGGGCTTTTTCTAATATAAATCTAATTAGACTTAATAGTAAAAGATAGGGAAGATTAACATGCAGCACCTATAACTTTAGTTTATTTTTAATTAGATTCTTGTAACTTTTTCTTTTTTACTGGATTCTTATAGTTCTTCAATTA